TAATCAGCCAGCCTTATAGACGCCACACACGACACGTGCGCCCAGGTCTGCCAGGTCTGCCCAGCCGAGGCGCTGCCCCTAGCTCCCTACGCTCTGACCTAACCTAACCTGGCATTTCCGGCCAAGAGACTTTCTTTCTGCCGAGGAGCATTTTCCTCCACAAGCTAACCCGCTCTTTCCTCTGCCTGCTCTTTGCGTCGGCGTTGTGTCTTGCGCGCTGCCGTGCCGGGAGGCTGCGGTGCGCGGCGCTGCGGTCTGCATGACTCACTTCCCAATTACTTCGTCCTTGGACTTGGAGTCCTTGGAGTCGCCGGTCGCGTCCGCGCGGGAACACGACTCTGCGCGAGGGCGGGCCTGGCGGGCCGAGGGCAGGGGTCGAGCGGGCCGAGGGACTCGTTGGTGTGCCGGGCTGCGGCGTTCCCGGCGTTTCCGCCACCGCCACGCCGCCGTCAACGAGGACAAGGAGCTCGAGGAGCACGGCGAACAGCGGGAGGAAGGAGCGCGTGCACCAGAGAGCAAACACCAAGCAGCCAGTAAGCTAGCCGAGAAGGCCGAGCCCCGCAACCGCAGGGCCCTCGGCAGGGCCCGCCAGCCGCGCCGTTCGAGGTCCGGGTTCAACGCTTTCCATTCTATATTCACCTGTGCTTGGAGCACGGGGCATAAACTGCCCCCCCCCCTCCCCCTCCCCCTCGCTGCTCCACCCCTTTGGTCTGGCGCGGCTCCGCGGCTCCGGCTCGGCCCCGGACTTTTATTGGACACTGCTATTGCCCTACGCGCGAGCGGCGCAGGATCCGGTGGCGCAGGCCGAGCGGGTGCTGCGGGCAGCAGGCTGCAGGCCGTAGGCTGCAGCGGCACTGGAATGAATTCGACACTGGAGGATGTGCATCGCAAGAAGACAGAGGTCGGCCTGCCGATCAGACTAGATCAGACCAGTGTCGCTCACTACAGACACCCTGCAGACTGATTCAAAGAGACGCCTTAGGGCATCCCGTATGGGTGCGAGAGAGACGGTGCGACGAAAACGACTCTCGGAATCAGGTCTGCTGTTTTACTGTCTCACTGTCCGTCCGCGGCGCACCGTGGGCCAGACACCTGCTAATTCGCTGTAAGTCACTGGTCGGCGGGCCGCGGATCAACAGGTGCAAAAGGCCCCACCCCACCGCGGACGAACTGGGACGAGCCGCGGGGGCGGGAGGGAGAGGGGAGGGACGGCCGCGCGCCGCCGCGGGCGCCTCGCTCCAGACTTTGACGGCGGACGCCCCGGAAATGGCCGGCATACCTCGTCAAAATAAATTCCCTCGCGCCATGCGAGTACTAATACGCGCGTTCATCACCGGCGGGCGGCGCGGAGTGACGGACTGAGTGAGCCTCGACCAGGGCCTCGACGCGGGCGAAGCGGAGGACGCGGGGCAATGCGGGCCAGGGTGCAATGCCTCCTTCAAAGTCCAACCATGAACCTTGAACCTTGAACGCGCACAGCCGCAAGCCACACCGCCACGCATGTTGCCTCTGGACTGTCTGGGACTGTCCCAAACAAGAGGTCCCAACTCAAGATAATCATTGCACGTCTAGTTGGTAATCAGTGAGATAATCAACATCATCCAATGAAATGACAATCATACTTTCGGGGATTCAATCACTTTTGACCATTTTTGCGAGACCACTGCTCCCAAACTATCAGCGGTCAAAGCCTTCCCGAGGCGGGGCATGAAAGAGTAGGGTCTTCAGAATAGTAAGGCGTTGAGGGAGGCCTTTGACCGCTACTAAATTGGATGCAGTGACCGCTCAAAGTCAGCAAAAACGGTAATTTTCTGAAATCCATTCACTTTTTGACCATTTTTGCGAGACTACTGCTCTCAAAGTATCAGCGGTCAAAGCCTTCCCAAGGCGGGGCATGAAAGAGTGGGGTCTTCAGAATAGTAAGGCGTCGAGGGAGGCCTTTGACCGCTACTAAATTTGACGCAGTGGCTGCCCAAAGTCACCAATATTGAATTTCCGACACTTTAACAGCTTTCCGAGGTCGGCGCTCAAATAATCCCCAATATTTCCCAATAATCAACATAATAACCTCCTATAATCAGTGATAAATAATAAAATAATCAAAAGAAATCACATGTAATCATACTCTAAAAATAATCAGTGTACATGAAAATCTTGAGTTGGTTACCCCATGGTCCCAAACCACCGGCCCAAACCCTGGGTCGTTGGGGGTGGGGTCGCAGGCGCGCGGCCGAAACACTGAATCGAATCAATCCCAAGGGTGGACCGGGAGCACTTTGCCTCATTAAAGTATGGCTGTTTTTTCCTTGTTAAAATCATTTTGACTCACTTTGTCGCTGCGCTTACGTGTAGAGACACACAGACACACACGCTCACACACACACACACACACACACACACACACACACGGACGGGCCCTATACAAAGGGCGCAAGGATGAGCGCTGGCCGGTCGGATTGCGGCGAGGGGGAGAGAGATTTACAGTCTGAGTCTCATTAACAAAAAGAGATAAAATAAAAACAATTTCAAGTCGCCGGCCCGAGCGCCCGAGCAGGGCAACGTGAAGGACGATGGTAGCGTTCCAGGAACACACGCCGAGGAGGGGGAAGGGCCCGAGGTACTTTCAAACTGGAAGCCACGTTGTGCCCCGCCGTGGGCCGTGGGCCGCCGAGGCGAGTACCTCGAACAGCCCTAGGCCGCCCTCGGCCGCCCTCGGCCCTTGATATTCATGCTATTCATGGGTTCCGCCCCGGGCCCAGCGGCCCAGAGAGCGGAGGGGCTCGGTGCGGCTTCTGGCGGTGGAAGTAGGAGTAGAAGTCCACACGGGGGCGGGGCCACCCGGGGCCAAATGCAAACATTGGCCACCCCACCCGGGCCCCTTTTTCTTCCTATCTGAAACCCAATGATTAGGATGACCGCTGTAAAGAAAAGATCAGCCGTATTACGAAAGACGTCCTCCAACCGACCTGTAGCTAGGCGTAAAAGAAGTTGAACCTATTGAAGCTCTACCGCCATTGCCCCGTCTACAGATAGGATCCAAATTGGCATGCAGACGCCATAGGGAATCGCACTCACTCGCAAGCAATGGTTGCGGTTTGCACCCGACATGTCGGCCGCAGCGGCCGTTCATTTTCAACCCACCCCCTTTGCTGCCTTAGCTGCCTTCCTGACCGGCTGGGACAGTCCTGTGGGCACCCAATCCCCCTCCGCCAGACTGCCTGCATACAGCCGCCGCTGACGGCCGCCGTTAGAAATTAGAAATTAGGCGGCGGCTTCCGAGGATTGCCGGGGGCGCTTCGACTGGCCTGCTCGCCTGGCCCTGCCCCTGCCTGGGTCCTGGACGGTCTGGACGAGCTGGACGGGCCGCGGGGGAGACGGGGACGGGCGGGCGGAATGGAGGGGCAGCGGAGCCAAAGCGGAGCGGCCTCGTGGTTGGGTTGGGTTCCAACCTCGAATCTAGTGAGCCAGTGCCCTCCAGGCTGCCACCGACGCCAGTGTACCTTGCACCTGCACCACAATCACGCCCCCATCTATGCACTATTTTGCAGTCCGCTTTGGGACCGCCCCTTAGAATGAGGAGGCGGTCGGGAAGGATAGGGGGCAGGCCGAGAGGTGGAGGTGGAGGGGGAGGGGGGCATAACCTGTTCAGCGGCAGCACCCCCCTCACCCCACGGGCCCGGGTGTCCCGCCGCCACCCCGCCACACTCCGGCGGCGGAGAACGAGCGGACGAGCGACCAAAACAAAAGCAAACACACGGACTTGTTGTTGTTGCGGGGGCAGTGAGCGAGGCAGTAAGTTCGATTGAACGGCCGTGGCGGTCAAGACACGCCAGGGCGCCTTGAAGGCGCTGTCCGAGGCAGAGGCGCAGTAGGCGCCCTCTCTCACCCAAGGGCTGAAGCCGCGAAACACCCCGCCTCTTTTCGGCACTGGCGAAAAAACTTAGAAACTGGAGCACAAAGGCAGAGAGGGAGGCGAAGAAGCGGGCAAGCGGACAATGTAAAACGGAGGCGGTGAGAAGAATAGGGGGAGGGGGAATGGAGAGATAGGGATTTGGGAAAGGCTTCGCACAGCACGACCGCGCAGGAGCAACACGACGGAATGAGAATAGAACAGCACAACTAACAGTAGAGGGGAGCGAGAGAGAGAGACTGTGTCAGGAGAGAATGGAGAAAAGGGCACGAGAGGCACTAGAGAGAGAAGGAGAGCACGATGGTGCACGGGCTGCGCGGGCTGCGCCTGCGCCGCCGCTGCGGACAACTACCTGTACTGCCCCCTCCCCTGGGGACCGTGCGTAAGCGGCTGAGCGGCCGGGCTCGCAGGTTCGCGGCCCGCGGCTTGGGGGGCTTGGGGCACGCCAACGCCCTCGCCGTCCTCCTCGTCCGCCACACTTGTCCGAGCTGGAGGCGCTGGAGGCTCCATGCTGGAGGCGCTGGAGGCATGCGTGGGGCCCAGTTCTGCCGCGAGGCTGGCTGGGGCTCCATTCCAGGACGGGCCCCGCTCGCCTTGCTCGCCCTGCTCAGGTGCGAAGCGAGGCAGGGCCGCAAAGCGTCACACGCTTCTCCAGCTTCTCCAGCGAGGCCGAGACGGCCGAGACCGTCGTCGTGGCGAGACGGTGTTTTGGCGCGGGGGGCCTTAATCAGTCAGTGCTGCCAACGAAACCCGAGCCGAGAGGTGGCGACGCCGCGACGCCGCGACGCCCGGGCACTGGCCGACGGTTGGCATCCCTGGCCGCCGGAGCGGGGAGGCGTGAGTGTGTGCGTGTGCCAGTGTGTGAGTGTGTTTGTGACCGAGGATCCCAACTCCAAGGAACGGTGCCGGCCCCTCCAAGAGTGGGGGAGACCCCGCCAGGCCCTCCGACCCCACCGCGGCCCCCTCCCCCACTAGAGCCTCCAGCACAGCCAGCTCCAGCTCCAGTCAGCTCAGCCAGCCACCGCGGCCAGCCATCAGGCAGGCAGGCAAGGCAGCGGCTGGCCGCCAGCCCGCCAGCCAGTCAGGCAGCCAGTCAGTCAGGCTTGCCCCGCGAAGCCAGCAGGTTGTGGAGGTGCGTCCGTGGCGCCGCGCGTAGCCGAGCGCCGTGCCCGTGGAGTTGCTTTGGTCCGTGGATTGTACGCATGACTATCCGCCACCAGTGCGCAGTGCGCCCGGCGCGCAGTCCGCGCAGTCCGCGCAGTCCGCGAGGTGTTAGTGATGTGACCAGTGCAGTGAAGTGAGATGTGAGAGTGCAGCCAGAGGGTTGGATGTGATGGCGGCCAGCGCAGCCACGGATGGCAGGCACCGCAGGCATACTACCCCAGTGATTGAGTGACACCCAGTGGCACCGACACACCCCCAGCCGAGTGCAGCCTTGTGCAACCCACCCAGCCCAGGAAGGAGCATGGGCACGCTGGGCCTGTCGAAGGTCTTCATTCTGGACAAGTACTTCACCGAGCTGCAGAAGTTCTGGGAGACGGAGAAGAAGCTCCAAGGTAATTGTCAAGGCGTGGGTGCGCGCCGCGCCACCGCGGCACCGCGGCTGCGGTAAAGCGAAGTACAGTGTAAACCGTTCACGTCCCGGATTTACCAGGGCGCTCGAGCCCTTCGAGTCCAGTATCTAGCCTAGATCTGGCCGCGTCGCCGTCCTGGAGCAGCTAGAGTCCTGCGGCCCTGCGGCCATGCAGCCCGACCGGCACCACTGGCCGTCCCGTGCCGTGCCGTGCCGCCTCGCCCATGCTCGCCCGGGACGCTACAAAGTCCTCCTGGACCAAAGGCTGCGCCGCGCGCCGCGCCCAAAGTACCCGAAGTACAAGTCATGGTCGCTAAATTGACGACGGGCCTGCGCCGCTATCGTTTTTTACTGACGTCGGACCACCTTTCAGAGTCAATCTGGGCGGAGGGCTGATGATGATGACGAGAAGGGGGGAGGGGGAGGGGGCTTGCTGCTCTCAAAGGGAGGCGCTGACTTCGTAGACGAAAGCCCTACGAAAGCATCGTGAAAACGAGAAGCTTCTTCCACGGGTCCCTCGCGTTTGTGGCAGTGTAGTACCCCGACCTGCAGGACGGCGAGGACGGAGCGGCCAAAGATGAGGCGGCTGAATTGGCAAAGACAGAGACAGGTTGATGGGTCTCACACAATATCCAGGGAGGCCGGCGGTGCGGGAGAGGGAGGGAGAGGGGGCAGGACGCCGAGTAGGGCTGCCGAAGAGGAAAGAAGAGACCGAGGGGACCAGGGAATGGCCAGGGCCAGGCTCTCTGCTCGACTTCAATCATCAATCACAGCGACTGGAAGACTGGATGGCGACCGGAGCAGCGAAGCGCCACTTGGTCGCCACGCGAAGCTCGCGACCCGCGGCCCGCCTCATTACAAACGGGCCGATTAGCCGCGTGGCGAGGCGGCCTGGCGCAAAGCCTGGCGAGAGCCTGGCCGAATCGGCGGGGCTGGACCTAGCAAGCTGGCCAAAGCAGACCGCGGTGGGCGGGCTGGATCCGCGAGAACCTGCAATCCTGCAGCAACCACACGCAAGTCTTTTCGATGGAAATGTGTGGCCGCGGTGACTGCGCCCGGCGGAAACTATTTATTTCTGGCCGACACCTCGCCGCCCCGCCACTCGCCGCCCCGCCAGCCGGGTTCGGTCCACTTTCGGGAAGACCATCAAATCAATGAGCCCGCCCATCGGCCTCCCATGCTGGGCATGGCTGGGCCGCTGGCTGGCGCTCCGGGCCGCCCCCTGGCCCTGGCCCTGGCCCTGTCTCCGCCATTTCGGCCGTTGAGAGGATGGAGAGCTTCGCAGAAATGGTCCCTTCCTCCCGACCAGCGGACCTCTACGCCCCGGCCCGCCTAGGCCCTACCGGCCGCACCATCCCAATCTCCATTACTTTTCCCTCCGCAGAGGTAAATTTCCCCGCATGGCGGCACTGCTCCTGTATGAGGTGGGTTAATGACCGGCCGGTGCCAGTGTCAGGGTGTCGGGTCGGGCTGTCGGGCCCCGCGGGGCAGCCCCGCCGTGCGCCACGCCCGCCGCGCCCCGCCGCGCCCCGCCGCGCCCCGCCGCGCCCCGCCGCGCCCCGCCTCTCCGCGCCGTCGCTGTCGGAAACTAATGCCCCTGCCCGGGCCCGAGCTGGCGGCCGGTCCCGCCCGGTCACCGGGCCCCGGTCCTCTGCTCTCGCTTGATCAGGACGCGGGGCCGCAGGGGCCGCAGGCTGCAGGGCGGGCTGGCGGGGCAATGGGGGCACGTTCCACTGCGTCCCGTCCCCCCTTTACTTCGAGCGCCGATGAATCTCGACAACGCGACGTCGTATCGCATCGCCGGGCCGGGCGTCGTCCGGGACTGTCCGGGACGAGCGACGCATCTGCCGGGGGCTGCCAGCGCAGCAGATACGCCGTTGTCGTGCGAGTTGTCGCGCCGTACCCAGACGCGCCCACAGCACTGTCGCCGCCGTGTACACTGACTGCTCAAGCTCGGTGTGATACGCCGCTGGAGCCCCGTCTCTCGCGCGCCCATACTGGAGGCCCCGTGAGCGAGGGGGTAACCCAGCGGTTCTCAACCTTTCTCGACTCGCGACCCCAAATTTGTAGCCAAAATTTCCGCGACCCCCAGGAAAAGTTTCGCGACCCCACGGGACCCCTCCTTTAGCATGCCACTGCGTCTGATCCGAGGCGGGCATTTTGCTCCCTCAACGGGCAATTGTTCTTTGGACCTTCCTTTAGCATGCCCCTGTTACGGAATGCGATTATCAGTCTTAGTTTGGGAGCAGTATTGTCTCAAAGTTGGCCAAAACGCTCAGAAATGTCTTTAAAAAATCATGTTTTGGGTCGATTTTAAGCAGCCACTGCGTCTGATCCGAGGCGGGCATTTTGCTCCATCAACGGGCAATTGTTCTTTGGACCTTCCTTTAGCATGCCCCTGTTACGGAATGCGATTATCAGTCTTAGTTTGGGAGCAGTATTGTCTCAAAGTTGGCCAAAACGCTCAGAATGTCTTTAAAAAATCATGTTTTGGGTCGATTTTAAGCAGCCACTGCGTCTGATCCGAGGCGGGCATTTTGCTCCCTCAACGGGCAATTGTTCTTTGGACCTTCCTTTAGCATGCCTCTGTTACGGAATGCGATTATCAGTCTTAGTTTGGGAGCAGTATTGTCTCAAAGTTGACCAAAACAGGCACAACGATTTTCAAAGACATTACTGAGCGTTTCGGCCAACTTTGAGACAATACTGCCCCCAAACTAAGACTGATAATCACACTCCGTAACAAAGGCATGCTAAAGGAAGGTCCAAAGACCAATTGCCCGTTGAAGGAGGACGAAATACCGCCTCGGGTCAGACGCAGTGGCTGCTTAAAATAGGCCCAAAACACGATTTTTCAAAGACATTCTGACCGTTTGGTAAACTTTGAGACAATACTGCTCCCAAACTAAGACTGATAATCACACTCCGTAACAAAGGCATGCTAAAGGAAGGTTCAAAGACCAATTGCCGGTTGAGGGAGCAAAATGCCCGCCTCGGATCAGACGCAGTGGCTGCTTAAAATCGGCCCAAAACACGACCCCAGCTACCTCGCCGCGACCCCTTAAAATTTTTTCGCGACCCCACTTGGGGTCGCGACCCTAAGGTTGAGAACCACTGGGGTAACCACTCGCGTAATACCCTGTACACAAAAACCGTGTATTACTCGTAATACACGTGATCGTAATACCATTTTTGGGTCAAATGTGCCAAATTTTGGCATTTTAGGGCCGTAATACACGTGTAATACACCCGTAATACAGCGTAATACCGAGTAGTCTGAGCACGATTTCTTGAAGTGTTTACCCCCTCGCCCGTGAGTGTGAGAGAGGCAGAGGGTCGGAATCGCTCTGCCGCGGCGACCGCCACACGGGGCGCGAGCCGACGGGCTATCTATGCTTCGAGTAGCGTCGCCGAGTGTCGCGAACCCGCCGCCGAGTTGAGTGGCCGCTGGGTTCACCGCAAAGCCAGTGGTAAGTTTACTTGCCACAAATTTGGCAAGCCGTTTTAAATGCCAAAATTTGGCAAGCTTTGATCAGAAATCTTCATGCCACGCATGGCAAGCTGGTGAGTATTTCCAGGCCAAACTTGCCAATTTTTGGCATTCAAAACGGCTTGCCGAATTTGTGGCAAGAAAACTTACGACAGGCTTTGAAGTGTTTGCCGGACACGCTGGATACTGAGACGGTTCGCGGAGCGCGTTCCCATGTTCCAGCGCAGGATGACGACGGGGATGGAGTGCAGCAAGGCGAGCCCTGTCCGGCCATCACGGCGCGTACCCGAGCCTTCTTTGCTGGTTCATCGGAGCGTTTAGTGCACGCAGGGCAAGGGCGGTGCCGGCGCCAGCGAACTTAGACTGACTAGTACGGTCTAGGGGCTTCTCCGCTTGGCCTGCCGCACTGCGCGCTGCGGTGCGCTGCGGTGCAGGCCGCCCTTCTGCCTGCTTTGCCCGCTCTGCCCGCCGTGCCTGCCGTGCCGGTGACATTGACTTTGACGCAGCCCGTTAGAAAGCAATTAAACTGCGGCACGTTACACTACGTTACACTACGTTACACTCCACTTGACTCGCTTCACTTCCCGCGGCTCGAGCCATCGGCCGACACTTGACCGACCAGGCCGAGGGAAGTGCGACGCTGCAGCGCCCCTCCGGCCCCTCCGGCCCCTCCGGTAAGGCACACGAATGCGTCTAGTCGGCCCCGACACCCACGACACCAACGCGCGTCTTTGCCGAGGTGTGCCCCGTGTTTATGTAACGCCGCACATACACTGTACATAAGTGCGCGGCGCGCCGAGTGCGGGGGCGTCGAGAGGCGATGCCCGGCGAGTTTTCCATCCACTACCTTTGCGCTCCGAGCCACCGAGGCTCAACAAACAGTCCTACAATCCGTCTGTAACGAGTCTGTAAGTAGGCAAGAAGTGCCACATGACCACCCAAATGCAAATCCTGGGCACGAGCCTGCTCTGGGCAGAGTGCCTGTCGCTTGTCGCTTGTCGCGTGCACTCTTGTTTGTGTGCGTGTGCGTGTGTGTGTGTGTGCGTGTGTGTGTGTGCGTGTGTGGCGCAAGCTGCAAGTGACCACCGGGGGGAACCGGAACCGTGGCCGGCATGGCCGGGATGCCACCACTGCCGCCGCGCTGCGCCGCGCCGCGCCGCGACCTCCGCGAACACGACAAAGACATTACTCCGGGAGCGGGTGTGCGGTGGTGTGCGGCGATAAGCCCCGCCCGGCCGCAGCCGCAGCGGCAGCTATTCGAAGAAAGTTTTAATTGTGGAGCCACTGTGGGGCCCGCGTGCCCGGGGCGCAAGTCTCGATTCTTTTCGCCCGGGGAAGCATTCCGCATTCCACCCTAGCCTGCCGGTGGCGAGATATCGGCCTCGGGGCGTGTGTGCGTGGCACTGCGCGCGCACACTGCGTGTGCATGTGTGTCACTAGGCGCAGTTTGGCGATAGTGTAGTGGAACGAGGCGGGCCAGTGGCGGGCCAGTGGCGGGCCAGTGGCGGGCCGCATCAGTGGCACCGTTAGCATCATTGACAGCGCTACTCCACTACCTGGGATGCATGCGCCGAGCTGCAGACGCGAGCCCGGCCCGCAGCCCGGGGGCGGGGAGGGGCTGAGCTGCTGGCCGGAGGGCCGGAGCCGTTGGACCCGGTGTGCGTCCGTCTAGGCCCTGGCAGGCGTGGCAGGCGTGGCAGGCCCCCTCCCAGTGCACTCGGTGGCTGCCCTGGCCGCGCCTGCCACGCCGCCTGCACTGCAGGGAGCCGCGCCGAAATGCGCGACCGGATTTCTCCCTGCAATCACTGGAGTCCTGGAGTCCCTGGAACGGGTCGTGGGCTGGCCAAGGCGCTGGCTAACAGTACGCCAAGTTCGCGGGGCCACACTACCGCACTCCGATAAGGCCACGAGGCGCGAGGCGCGGGGCAGCGCTCAGCGCCGCCTCCCGGCCCGGAGCGCGTCCGGAATGCGGGTGGACCAAGGAGGGCTGGGGGGCTGCAGCTTGCGTGTGTAGCCGCACGATTGGCTCGGGGAGGGCTGCAGTCTGCTAGCCTGCTAGCCGGGTGAGGCCCGGGCTCTTAGTACTCCAGTGGCGGGGCGGGCAGGCGAGTGCAGCTGCAGCGACAATCACGCTTTGTGCGTCCAATCGCGTTGGCTGGCCGTGGCGTGCCGCGTGGCGCTCACTGCCTTGCCTCCATTTGCCGGAAAATCTCTCCTCACCGCGTGTGCAGTGTGCCGCGACCGGGAGACCAGGCCCCGCACGCAGCCGCTCCAGCCGGCCGCCTCATTGCATGCAAATTGCATTCTGGCCATTCTGGCCATTCTGGCGGCGTGCAGGCCTGGCAGGCCGGGCAGTGGCCGTTGTTTTCCCTTTTCCGGCCTTTTCCTCGCGCAGCCTGTCCAGGCCGGCCTGCACCCCGGAGACTTGAACGCAGGCGGCGGTGCGGGGCGCGGGGTCGAACGCGCGTGGGGCGTGGGGCTCACTGTGGCGTTCGGCGGGCGGGCGTCCCGAGAGAGCGAGTGACACCTTGACCACGCCGTTGGCAGAGTCGGCAGCCGGTTTGCGCTTTCCCGCCCGTGCCGTGGCGTGCCACACGGCTGGGGTTTCACAATGCACCGTCCGGGGAAGGCCAGCCCCAGCCCCAGCCTGGAGTGCCTCGCAGGCAGCAGGGCGAAGGCGAAGGGGCGGAAGCGTCTGGGGCGGCTTGCGGCAGCGATCTGCCAGTGCTGAGCGACCCGGGCCCAAATGACCCGGGCCCAAATGATATGGCATTACGGACTGCTCCGCCTGTCCTTCCTCAACCCTCCCTTGCGCCGCCCAGCGTCGCCCCGGACCTTGGCTCGGGCCCCTCTCGGGTCGCACACATCGCCTGCACGGAATTTCAAACGACTTGAAAACAACCCGTCGTTCTTCAGGCGCTGCTCTGGTCCATCCCTGAAATTGGAGGGCCCAGTGTACTTTCGCGGACAGTCGCTGGCCCTTTGATTCCAACTCGATTCAACTCGAACGAACGCAACAGTGGCGCTGCAACGCGGCAACCCGGCCGGCGAGGCAAGAGGGCTGGCGCCGCGTGGTGCCGCGTGGCGCCGCGTAGCCCGCGGAGTGCGGGCGGGCCTGGCGGGCCCCGGTCAGCCCCGGTCAGCCGCCGCCCTGCCCTGGTCGGCCCCGGTGCTTCGGTTGCATGGTCGGCCGGCCGCTCGAAGGCAACAAGCCACCCTTGAGTGAAAACGAGAAAGTGATCGTGTTCGGCGACCTAACCTCCTCGCTGTGTGCGGCGTGGCGGGGCGTGGCGGGGCGTGGCGGGGCGTGGCGGGGCGTGGCGGCCGGGCCCACACCCTCCATTGAAGCCGATCGTCATCGCGGCCCTTCCTTCCCTTCCCTCCATTCTCACCATTGTTTTCGCACGCGACTGAGTGGCGGAGTGGCGGTGACGCAGCGCAGCGCCTGCTTGATGGTGCTCTTGATGGTGCTCTTGATGATGGCTGCCGACTACGACGATGACGACTTAGGCATAATTAGGACTGGGAGGTAAAAGCATTGGCGGGGCGGGGGCCTCGGTCCGGCCGTGCCCATGTAATAAGGATAATGACCCACATGGGCCGCCCTGCCGTGCCCTGCCCTGCCGTGCCGTGCCGTGCCCTGCCCTGGAACGGCCGGCGCGTCCGTCCTCGTCCAACCCGTGCCCGGGTCCGCGGACCAGACGAGGACGGCGGCTAGGGTGCGTCCGAAAAGGCGGCCTCGGTGGCTGCCTGGCCGGCCTGGCCGAGCTGGAGACGGCGAGACGACGACGGCGGCCCGGAGGAAGGAGGGACGGAGGAACCAGTCCTCTGGGCTAGACGGGGTACCCGCCCGGGGGCAGGCAGGTCCCTCCAGGTCCCTCCAGGTCCCTCCAGGTCCCTCGCAGGGACAGAGATGGACGATGCGACGGGCCGGCGCGGAGTGAGCGGGAGAGAGAGAGAGAGAGGCGGCGACGCTGGAATGCCTTCTCACACGCTGCTCGCGCTGCGCGCTGCTCCGAGTCCAGCCACGGCCGCCTCGCATGCACGGCCCGGGCCGGGCCGGGCCACATGCCGCCACATGCCGACGTGCCCACTTCTGGATTTGTTTGGTCGAGTCATTTGTGTGCGCCTCCCCTGTGTTTTGAGGCCCTGCCGGCCCGCTCTCGTGTCTCATTTTATTTCCTGAATTTCATCTTCTATGATTTGAAGGGGAAATGCCTATGATACAGCGGCGTGAGGAGCGGACTGTCTTCGCGGAGTGCCCCGCGGACACTGCAGGGTGGCGTCGCGGCCAGGCCGGCCACGCCCCTGACATCCACAGCTTCCATCCCAAAGGACCAAAGCACGCCGTCAATAGGCAGGCGGATCACCAATCGATTGAGGCCTTTTAAAACGGTCGCGGCGGGGGAGGGGCGGGGAGGGGCGCGTCCGCTGGGCTTTTGTCCCGTCGGGACCTGTTCGACGAAGTATGCCCACGAAGTTGCCGTGACCGTCCGAATAAATGACCGATCTGCGTGGTGCGGCCGGTGCGGCGCCCCAGTGCCCCGGCGGCCCCGAGTCCAGGTAGCGCAGCGCGCCACCTTGCAAGGCATGCCGACGACCGGCATCGGGGCCTCTAGGCCTCTAGAGCCTCCATGACAAGGACTCCGTGCCTAATCGCCAAGGCACCACGCGGGGTTCAGAAGCCTCAAAAGCACAGGCACTGGCTTTACCGCCGGCATTGCAGCGTTGCAGCCGGCACTCCGTCGGAGTCCTCCCCGGTCCTGGACAGGTCCTGGATGGTCGCGGAGTCGCGGAGCGCCGCGGAGGCAGTGCGGCTGCAGGTCCACGGGCGTCCACGGGCTGCACGGCGTTGGCAGCGGCGGGCAGCGGCCAGCCAGCCAGCCCTCGCCAGCCCCGGCCCTTGTTTGAAATACTCCTGTTTGCTTCCAGCTACGCGTCGCCTTATGAATATGTATGTGGCCACACGTACACAGGCACTCACATGCACGCACGCGCAGGAGCAGCAGGAGACGGGGGCCCCTCACAGACACGCATGCACACATTCACGCTCTACTTGACTCGCCCTTCGGCTTCTTTGACTCCTTTGAGTCCGTGTCGTTGATTGCCATGGGCTAGGGCTGGACGCCCATGTGAACACGTGGCTGCGAATCGAACCTCGTCCTGGCCTGGCCGGCCTGGCCTGCCCCGGTCCTCTCGCGCCGACTCATGACTTCTGCTTCTGCCTCCGCGGATCGCAATATTTTTTGCACTGGACCTTGACGACAACGGTGTCCGCACGCCCCGCAGACGAGCAACATCCGAGAATTCCGCGATAGCCTTTTAGAACCCTTTTAGAGCCCTTTTTAGAGCCTCTTTTAATAACCCACTGCAATGTTTTAGTATCCGCAGGAAACCCCACAGGCGGGCATACGGGCCTGGGGCTTGGCCTGGGGCCTGGTGTACGGGTTCTGCGCCTCGACTGCTCGACAATGCCGAGAGGGGCCGTCTTTAATTTCGTATTCACATTGAACAGTAAAAATGATGAACACATCGAAATTTTTCCCCGCGCGGAGGGGATTTGAAGAGCTTACTTGGTTCTGCCTCTACCTCGCGTCTTCCCGCGTCCCCATTTCCCAACAGTACTGTATTTTGAAGGGGTTTTAAAATTTTCTGGTTTACCATTTGTGACGGCTTGAGGCGACTTTCCCAAGCGCACCGATCGAGGTTTTGTTTTAGCACCTTCGGCCCGGCGACCCGTTTCCCTGCGAGCATTCCGGCGCCTTCTCTCTGACTGAAAGCATTAATTAAACCGTTCCAGATGCGTCGTCGTCGAACGAGGCCGTGCACCTGCAGCAGCGGCTCCGAAGCCTCAGCACGGAGCTGGTGACGCTGCGCAACCGACTCCATGTCCAGGGCGGGGCTGGCGGCGCTGGCGGGGCCGGCGGCGCTGGCAGTCCCGGAGGGCCGCAGGGTGGCGGCGTCCACGGCGGCGGCCATGGCGGCGGCGGACAGGGACCTCCGAACCACGCCCCGCCCATCGCCCCCAAGCCCCTGCACCCCATCAGCCCGGAGAAGGGCGTAGGCCCGCACCCCTCCCTGCTCCACCCGGGGCACATCATCCACCAGCCGCTGCCGCCGACGCCGCTGCAACTGCAGCAGCAACAGCAGCACTCTCCACCGCCCCCGCCGCCGCCGCCGTCCGCGCCACCCCCGTCTGCGCCAGCCCCACAGCTGCCGCCGACGCCGCCGCACACCCCGAAGCACGGCAGCAAGGGAAAGGTAAGCCGTTGGTGCAGCAGGTCGCCGTCAGCACGCACCACGCCGCAGTCTCTGTATCTCTCACGACGCTTGCTCGGTTGCAGAAATGCGTGCAGTCCCCGCCGGCCTCGCCCAACGTGGCCCTACCCCACGTGCCCCAAGTGCCCCACACGCCCCACGCGGCCCACGCGCCCCACACGCCGCACGAGATGGCGTCGCGGCCGGCCAGCCAGGCGCAGTCCCACTGCCCGCTCTACCAGGCCGCCTCGCCGTCGTCGCCGTCGCCCTACGCCGACCTCCATGACCTGATCCACCTGCCGGGGCCGCTGACGGAGGACGCGGTGCTCAAGTGCCTGCACGGCCGCTTCCTGGCCAACCAGCTGCACACCAACGTGGGCCCCATCCTGCTGTCCGTCAACGCGTACCAGGACGTGGGCAACCCGTTGACGCTGAGCTCGACGCGCGGCGTGCCCCTGGCGCCGCAGTTGCTGCGAGTGGTCCAGGACGCGGTGCGGCAGCAGGCCGAGACGGGCTACCCGCAGGCCATGATCCTCTCGGGCTGCAGCGGCTCGGGCAAGACGTACGCGGCGATGCTGCTGCTCCGGCAGCTGTTCGACGTGGCGGGCGGCGGCCCCGAGACGGACGCGTTCAAGCACCTCGCCGCCGCCTTCACCGTGCTGCGCGCCCTGGGCAGCGCCAAGACCTCCTCCAACTCCGAGTCCAGCAGAATCGTAAGTGTCGCCGGCGGCTATGTCAGCACTGCCTCAGTGCCTAATGGTACCTACTGGCCCACCCTTTCTCACCTCCACTCCTTGCGCAGGGCCACTTCATCGAGGTGCAGGTGACGGACGGCGCGCTGTACCGCACCAAAATCCACTGCTACTTCCTGGACCAGACCCGCGTCATCAGGCCCGCGTCCAACGAGAGGAACTACCACATCTTCTACCAGTTGCTGGCGGGCCTCACCCCGGAGGAGCGAGGTGAGGCAAATAAGGCGAAGCGACGCCAAGGCGCGAACAATGCCCCCGTCCGGTGCCCAGTGCTGGGGCATGGCGGGCTGGCGGGCCGGCGGGCTGGCGGACCCCAGTGGGAGTACTGTAACTCGCAGGGCGCAGGGCTGCCTGGAATCCGCTGTGACGTGCACGGGGCTACGGCCAGGCTACGGCGCGCTCGGCAGCAGCCATGCAGCCAGCCAGCCTTGCGCCGTACATGCCAGGCAATGCCAGGCCAGTCGGACGACCCGCCACTGCCCAGCCCACGTCCCTTCCCCCTTTCCCTTGCTGCCCTTTCCCTTCGCTGGGCAGCAGGCTGGAGCCGCTGGAGGAGCAGGGCACTCCGTGGCCGGCGCAGCAGGCGCAGCAGGCGCAGCCGCAAGAAAAACAAGACGCCGAAGAAAGAAGCGGCGGAAGGCATGATGCGCGGGATGAACACGGCGGCCCGCAGAATGTTGGGGTTGGGACTGGACCGCCGTTTCCCTGCCTTAGTCACGCGTTGTGTTTCGTGTCGCGTCGCCAGCTTGGCGGCTTGACCCTGGCCTCCACTCCGCTAACCCTGCGCCTCCATTTCCGATCGCAGCCAAGCTCAACCTGGAGGGCTACTCCGTGCACAACCTCAACTACCTCCGGCACGGCCTGCGGCCGGGGGGCGGCGCCGCGCCTGGGGACGCCGGGGCTGCTGCGGCCGCGGCGGCGGAGGAGGCGGAGGACGCGTCCCGCTTCCAAGCCTGGAAGGCGTGCCTGGGCGTGCTGGGCATCCCCTTCCTGGACGTGGTGCGCGTGCTGGCCGCCGTGCTGCTGCTCGGCAACGTGCAGTTCGTCGTGGTGGACGGCCAGGGCGGCGTCGAGGTGTCGGTGCAGGGCGACGCGGAGCTGAAGGCCGTGGCCAACCTGCTCGGGGTGTCTGGGGCCGCCCTCTTCCGGGGGCTCACGTCCAGGACGCACAACGCGCGCGGGCAGCTCGTGCGGTCCGTGTGCGACGCCAACATGGTCAGTATCGTGTGCTCCGTGTGCTGCTCTTTGCTCTTTATCGGTCCATTGTCGTGGCTGCCACCGCCTAACCCTGCCCTTCCCTCCGCAGTCCAACATGACCCGCGACTCGCTGGCCAAGGCGCTGTACTGCCGCACCGTGGCCACCATCGTCCGGCGCGCCAACAGCCTCAAGCGCCTCGGCTCCACGCTCGGCTCCACGCTGGGCTCCACGCTGGGCTCCACGCTCGGCACGCTCAGCTCCGACTCCAACGAGTCCGTGCACAACCAGGTGGACGTGCTGAGCCAGCACGCCAGCACGGCGGGCACGGCGGGCTCCAAGTCCAGCAAGTCCATGGCGGCACTCAACAACGCCGTGCGCCACGCCACGGACGGCTTCATCGGCATCCTCGACATGTTCGGCTTCGAGGACCCCAAGCCCAGCCAGCTGGAGCACCTATGCATCAACCTGTGCGCCGAGACGATGCAGCACTTCTACAACACGCACATCTTCAAATCCTCCATCGAGTCGTGCCGCGACGAGGGCATCCACACCGAGGTTGAGGTGGACTACGTCGACAACGTGCCCTGCATCGACCTCATCTCCTCCTTGGTGAGTAGCGCCTTGGCCGCGGCGGGAGTCGGAGCGAACCCGCCTAACGTGCCGTCTCATTTTGCAGAGGACAGGCCTGCTCAGCATGCTAGACGTGGAGTGCTCGGTGCGCGGCTCGGCCGAGACCTACCTGACCAAGGTGCGCGCGCAGCACCGCCAGAACGGGCGGCTGTTCGAGCCGCGGCCGCAAGAGGCGCGTTCGTTCGGCATCCAGCACTTCGCCGGCAGGGTGGTGTACGACGCCAGCGACTTCCTGGGTAGGTCTCCACGGCGTCATCACCGTCTAGAGGATTGGCTTGCGGCCGCACCGTCGGTGTACAGAACGTGACTCTTTTCACAGACACCAACAAGGACGTGGTGCCGGACGACCTGGTGTCCGTCTTCCACAAGCAGACGTGCAACTTCGGCTTCGCCACGCACCTGTTCGGCAGCGAGCTCAAGGCACTCTTCTCCTCGGAGACGGTGCCGCGCGGCGTCAGCTTCCGGATCTCGCCGACCTCCCACACCGACCTGTAAGTATCGAGTGTCCGAGCACCCCAGGGCGAGTCTAGAGTCTTCTAGGCCGCAGCTGGCACTAACCGCGTCCGCGACACCTTTGTGCAGGCTCAACGGCGACGAGCCCGTGTCCACGCTCACGCAGGACTTCCACACGCGGCTGGACAACCTGCTGCGCACGCTGGTGCACGCGCGGCCGCACTTCATCCGCTGCGTGCGCTCCAACGCCTCCGAGACGCCCGGCAGGCTGGACCGCGCCACCGTCATGCGCCAGATCCGGTCCCTGCAGGTGCTGGAGACCGTCAACCTGATGGCGGGGGGCTTTCCGCACCGCATGCGCTTCAAGGCGTTCAACGCGCGCTACCGCCTGCTGGCGCCGGCGCAGCGCGGCCCGCGGCAGGCTCAGGGCTGCGGGCAGCAGCAGGGGCCCGCCGACGCCCCCGAGGAGTGCGCGCTCTTGATGCAGCAGCTGCAGGTGCTGCTCGAGGCCGAGCCGCAGAAGAGCCAGTCGCAGGTGTCCATGGGCTGGGCGCTGGGCAAGCGGCACATCTTCCTGAGCGAGGGCGCTCGCCAGCAGCTGGAGGCGGCTCGCTGGGAGACGAGGCACGTCAGCGCCGTGAGGATCCAGTCCCGGTGGCGAGGGCACCGCGCCAGGAAGCGCTGGCCCGCCCTGCGCCGCAGCATGGCGCACACGGCCCACTCGGCCCACACGGCCCACACGGCGCACTCGCAGCACCAGGCCGCCGCGCACGCCGGCATCGCCCGCAACATGCCCTGCAGCCAGCCCCAGGCCGCCGCATCCCCCGGCCGCGCGGGCAACGTCGTGGCCAAGGCGGCCGCGGTGGCAGCAGCCGCGGCGGTGGCGGCCGCGTCGGGGGCGGGGTCTTGCGGCACCATCACCAGGCCCAGGCCGCAGCCCATAGCGGGCACGCCGCCCCCTGACCCGGCGGACAAGTGCGACCACAACGTGGTCCAGCAGACCTGCACCCTCTTCGGACTGGACCTGGTAAGCAGACGCAGGGTACGACGCGCCTCTCCAACCTCTGCACCGTCGTCACGAGCTTGTTGTGGTGGTGGTGGAGCTAACAATTCATTACCGATGCTGCAGGAGAGGCCGCCGCCGGTGCCACCAAGCCGCTCGTACACCGTGACCGGCAACACCAAGCTAGGCTACCCCCAGACGCGGATGATCAAGATGCCCTTCCCTGGTAAGCCACCAAGCCACGCGGCCAGTGTGACCGCGTACCGCGTCCTCGGCGCACGCCGCTGCACCCTGCTCTCAAGGCCGGCCGGCTGGTCCGTTCGGGGCAAGTCATTCTTCTCTGCTCTCACTTTGTTACAGAAGATGGTAGCGGGGAAGTCCAACTGCTCAAGGGTGACCAAGTTCTCGTGCTCGGGGCGTCGCCTCGCCGCGGCCATCTCCTTGTCGAGCACAACAGCGTCAACCTCCACGTGCCCTACCAGTTCCTGGAGCTCCTCCCCGGACCCGGACCCGTGAGCATCTAGCTTGCCCCTCGAGACTGCGCTACTGCGGCCGGAGTGTGATTAAGCCAACCTGGAAGACTGATGACTTAGATTTTGCTCACTTTGGCAGATGAAAACTTGTGCCATAGATGTATTTATAGTGTATTCGACTACATTCTCATAGCGTTATACAATGCCATCCATTACTATCTAAATGTGTATAACATAATTTTATTGTGAATAAGTATTTAATATTTTCCTTGTGCCATTCGGTCGAAGCCTTAATCAAACACAAATAGGAAGCACCTTTATGTGCACAAACTGCCATGAATTCACTGTAATAATTTGAAACCTCTTCTTTGACAGCTCATAAGGTGGTGTCAATACCCAGTGAACTGTAGTATTCAGTAATTTGCCTTCAATTAAGACTAATTAAATTTGAACTAAAGGAAATGTGTGGATCTTCATTAGTTTATGAAGCAAGTAAGAATCTAGAATTCAAAGATCTCACTCATGCTCAGTGCCTCTTCTTGAGAACTTCTTGTTGAGGAACAAGGTAAAAAAATGAAGATGCATCAATGTTTGACAACTGCAGTTTATTGTTCTTTACTCCTTTCTGTATGTACAAGATCCTGTACATCGTGTTAGGTAAAGGGCTCTTTGTCAATCTTCTATTAAAATGGGGAGCATAGAAAGAAATTTGAAGAATAAAAAGATGAAAGTATTAAGTACACAGCAGAATAAAAGGTAACTTATTAAGAGAGTTGAATTAGTAGCAAACTCTGAAAAGTATAGCAAATTTCTATTATTACAGTACTGTATTTGCAAGACATTTGGCACAAGAATAATTAACATGAAGCTTGAAAGGCTTGTGTAAATATTTGTAAGTTAAGGACATAAGTCAAAAATGAATACAATTATTGTTGTAATCTGTACATATGTTATGGTCATGCCTATATTGTTTGTACAAAGTGACTCATTAAAGATATTTTCATTGATTCAGACGTTTTTGTACCTTACCTTTACCTTTTGTACCTTATTAAGAACATGACATATTTGACATACTTATTAAGAATCAATCAATTTAGTAAAAAATATAGAAATCACAGATAATTTTCACAGAAAAGGTTGATGTAATAGAAAAGTATGGAATGAATTCATACTGATAAAATGAACCTTGCTTCTTCATAGCCAAATCTTATTCTTTACAAAGAAAGTAACTCAAAACAAAAATTTGGAAGCCCAAAGGAAACATTACATGGCGCACTTCAAGCAAATGGATAATATTAGTTTGTTTGTTAATGGCACAAAAAAAAAAAAAAAAAGAGAAAGAAGGTCGAATTCCAATAAGTACGTATAAGAAGAAAATACTAGAAAAGAAGTAAGATACGAGCCTATGGACAAATCAAAATTCTTTCCCCGCTCTCATTTAAAAGGGAGGAACATGAGAAGATTGACATGGGTAAGTAAATCACCACCTACAATTTGCAAAAAATTCGAAATGGAATGTGAAAAATGAGATCTTAATGAAATTGAAGAATTGAAATATTGTTTAAAATTTAGTTATGTGTAGTATTTGCTTCATTGATAGCACCAAGCAGAACAGTCAAGACTTTAGTCACTTTTAAGTAGTCTTCAATGCACTTGACAACTTTGTGACTAGCTCGTCTAAGTCAGAGATATCTTTCCTTGTAGTCAATCCAGTAAGAGACTCGTGCACTCCATTCTGAGCCAAATCTTTTGCTAAAACATCTGGAATGTAAAAAACATTTCAGCATAGAATTACATAAAGAGAAAAGTACCGAATGTTAAATTCTGTAAGTCCAAGACAATAATAATACCTGATGAAACTAGCTCTCCAAGGAGAGCTAGTGTATTGCACAGCATAGGTTTTTCCATAGATGAGCCATGCTCAGTTAGAAGACCTGCCACCCTTGCACACACCTAGAAACAAACACAGCATGAGCACAGATGGTAAAGGTGAAGTAAGGAAATGGAACGGAGCAATCAATACCTTTGACTCTGCTAAAGATTTCTCAGCAATTGGTAATTGAGTGGCTGATACCAAGGTTAGTGCAAGGAGTGCCTCATTTCTCATGACAGCATGCTCAGAGCACAACATACTAACTAAAGGTGGGAGAGCACAGCACTGAATGACAGTTGCACCAACATCTTTACTCCTGTATTTTGAAAGACAATGTAAGTGTCAAAGCCGGTAAAAGAAAATGAAAAACAAAAAAAAAAACAAATATGACACCTTTACCTGACATACACAAAATAACAATAACCAAGAAGAAAAGATGCAACTTATAAAGAAAATTAAAAGCTAACCTGCTGTTTTTAATTATCCATGCCAGCAAGCGGCTAGCTTCTCCTTGAACTCCTGCATGACAATCATTAGCATAAAATTCAACAAGCTTCTTTAGGAGTTGACTATTTTTTCCTAATTCCTCAGCTGCTTGGTCTTACAAAACAAAAAAAAATAGAGATGGAATTAAATCTTTGAAAGGAAACAAATAATACAAGTACAAAAAGCAAAAAGAGGTTTGGATACCTTGTCCATCAACCAACATTCGTAAAGTTGCCAAAAGTTTGAAGGCCACGGGCAAAGTGCAGGAATTGATCATTGGTGTCAAAATGTCAAGAGCACCAGCTTTAAGAATAACAGCTTTATTTGATGTTGGAATGGCAAGGTTTCTCAAGGCAGAAAGAAGTGCATGTGGCAGACGTGCATCGTCTTCATGACCATTGTGCTTTTCCAACAACAGAAGAAAATCTTTGTGAACACCACTTTCCACCATTTTTATGCAATTGAGATCTGTAAATAATTATACACCAATAATAAATATTTATATTACAATGAATTTTTTGTCAATTGCCCTATGGACTCACCACATCGTGCAAAGTTCCCGACAGCAAGAATTCCAGTGGTCTGAAGATCAGCATTGTCAGCAACCACCCATTTTAACATGTTTAGGTATACTTCACCTTTCCCATCTCCATAGAGCATGGTCATGCTTACATCTAAGCAAGATAAGATACGATAGCTTAGTATTCATTTGATGAACATGTATTATGTTTGAGACAACTGACAAATGACGTTTACCTCCATTCAGAATTATGACAATCAGGTCTGTGGCAAGCTTAAAAAGGCGTTGTGTGTCTTCATCAGCATCATCAACTAAAGGCTGGTATTTTTCAACAAGACTAATCAAAAGCTGGCAAAGACCATGTTGTGCAAGGGACTGTTTTACACTATCTAGAAATAAATAGGCATGTTAATTCACAGAATGCACATGGAGTAAGGGGTCGGTGGTGACAGGAAGTAGTGGATAACTTGAAAGAAGATAGCCAAAGTCAACTATTTTCTGGAGCACGTACCGTCTTCAGCATGGGTTTGAAGCAATTCAAGCACAGATTCACAAATCTCAGCTGAAGATGACGAAAATGTTTCTAGCACCTGCACTAGCATCTGACACACCTTATCAGTTAAAATAGTATCACCAGAAGAAACTAGAATAAAACAAAATTTATAAATTTAAAAAAAGGTAAAAATAAAAATTTGGCAGAAATGTGAGATAGTATTTAGATTATTGGCACCTTGATCTAAAAGATAACCAAGAATGACTATTGCATGATCAGTTGTACTGCAGCCATCTTCACTTTCTCTGTCAAGTTCTAGAACTTGGCATAGCAATCCAATTCCACCCAGAGCCACCAGCTACAAAAAGAAAAGAAACAACAAAAAATGTAGCACTTTATACTAGTTTTAGGGGCATTAATCTGTAACACTGACTGACCTTCTGATGCATTACATCCTGAGAGATAGTTAAATTAAGAAGGAAACCAATTATCACAGAGCGTAGAGTGGAAGCTCCAGGAGTGTTGTTGGCAAGCAGCACAGCTCTCTCCAAAACTGAAAGGAGTACTTCCAAACCCTCAGCATCCAGGACACATGTTTGCCCTCGCTCTGTAAATTCATAAAAAAATAAAAAATAAATAACAAAGGATTATTTTATTTTTTTTTCAAAAAAATATAAGAATGATTAAAATGATTCAAAAAATGATTAAAAGATCAGGAATTAGGCTTTAACTGACTTACCACTTTCATAACACATGTTTCCCAAGGCACGGCATACTTGTGTCACTACAGCAAGGTTGCCACTATCTGATAGATCAGATGACTTTTGTTGAAGTAGATTGACAAGCTGTTGGGCAATGGGCGGCTGAAGGGTAGCAAGTCGTTCTCGGCCAGCTTCTGATTTTGCAACTTCAGCTAAGATGTTGGCCACTACAGCTATAACTTCATTTGACTTCCACCGTAACAACAAAACAAGTTGAACACATGGAACAATACTAACATCTGGCACAGAATCTGAAAGAAAAAAAATAATTAAGGCACGAGATTCATTTACAGTAATTTTTTTATGGCATGTATGACTGACAAAAGACAGTCATCAATATCTTCTTAGGTAGTTAGCTTACCTATGCCATTTTCTTTGATAATCGAGAGAATATCTTCAACAATTCTGAGTACGTTATCAGACTTGTTTTCAATGGCAATCTTGAGATCATCAATTTTTTGCTCCAGTGTGATTGCAATGCTTGAAGTTTCTGGAATGGAGAACACAGTATGACAGCAAAGCTAGTGTAAACACAAAATTATGAATTTTGGTCTGAGCCAAATTTGAGGAAAAGTAGAGGACAGGAGAATTAACAATGACATTTGAAAGGGCACTAAGTTTTGAACAACAATAATGCATGCACTAGGCTATGAATGGAATGACGCCACACTAGCAACCCAAATGTCACGTTTAAGAGGGCATAACATTTACCTGCCATGTTTTCTAAAGGATTATTTGCTGGTCTAATTTCTCTAACAAAACATTTTTGATAGACTTTCGAAAAATATTTCTTGGTGACAGATTTACGATTTACAGATGCTGAAACGTTTGTGTTTTGTTTGATAGTGTAGTAAGTTTGCAGTGCTGGCAACAGCTATCATTGAAAACTTCTCAAAGCCAAAGCTAAAACAGGTCCCTTGACCTTTTCACTGGTCTCCCAAAAATTATTGATTGAAAATTGTCATCAAAAATAGTTTATTGTACCCTGTTTGAAATTAATACTGGTACGGGCTACAAATTTTATTGTTTGACCGTTGGCTAAAAACCGGGGCGAAACCGGCAGCACGCGTTGGGAGGGGGAGCATTTGTTTGTTTTTGTTTGTAATATTTATTGGGAGTTTAAAGCAATTTTAACTTCAAAAACCTCTCTTTTTTAAATATATATTTTTTTATAAAAGGAATTGCTCTAGTTTCTTTTTGGCCAAGGCTTTGCACTGCTTAACTCTTTTCTGGCCACTGTAACTGAATTGACATATGCCACAAATCTGTAATTCAGAAAATGGTACACAAGAAGTCTGAGTATGAACTTCAGTATCACAAGCTGACAAATGATATAAGAGCTCAGATATGGAAGGAAAATCTTATCTTTAGGTAAGTCCTACACCTTTTTTCTTGAATTGAAATCAGTACAAAACGTCTTGAAGTTTTCATCAAATTGTTTTTGATTAGAGAGTCTCAAAAACGCAAGAACTCATCGGATCACTACTGGCGTTATCAGCTTATTGATGATGCTTGCGACTGTGAAAGAGGGAGTGAAGAGGATGGGGTCTTAAAACGGTGAGATGTTTTGAACGAAGTCTGTGTGCTGTTCTATATAACTCCCACCCTTATCCAATGAAATTTGCAGATGGAGATATTTGAATAAAACAGATGAGGCACAAAAACCTCGTATTCTCTATCAAGATATGGCTGTGCAAACTTCAGATTGTGATGAAACTGTCCATAAGTATGTTCTTTAAAAGTCTTTCTTGAAAATATTTTTTCATGGAAATAATTTGTTCTTATTTTGCTTGCTTTTAGAGTACCACATTTAGAGGAGAGTGCTGCAGATGTTCCCTTGGAATTGAAGACCCCTTTCAAAGAAGATTCTAGCAAGTGTACATCACCTGTTGCAAAAGCTGACATTCCTGAAAATTGTACAACAGCCTTGAATGGATCATCGTCATTTAATCAGCAAATTAGTTCATTTAATGAGGAAAGAAATAAGTCAAGAGAAAACCTTCAATCAGTGATTCACAATTTGAATCCTACAAGTGTTGAGACCCCTTCAAAAGATGTAGTGCACTGGTCGCACTTTGGCCTTTCGCCTTCTCGTAGTGCATTGAAAAATTATCGTTTGAAATGCAAATCTGAACCTGTGTTTGCTGCTTTTGGATGTAATGAGTCTAATATAGATGTGGGCAGCCACAAGACCTACAATGTGCGAGCACCTGAGAATCAGGTTTGAGCTAAAAGAAATTTTGAGACTATTTTATCAGGTGAGACTGGCCACTGTTGAGGGATTCATTTATATTTTTGATGTTGCAGGTTCATAAGACCGCTCTTATGGCATCTGGAAAGAGGCTCCATGAATTAGAGTTAATTTTGGCAGAACAACTAAAGAAGAAACGCCAGGAAAGATCACAACTTTTAATCGTAAGTATTGTTTGTCCCTTGTCACAGTGATTTACATTTTGAGTCAGGGCCCCTTTTAATTCCATTCTTTCCAGGGGCCTGTTAATTCAAGCAGTATTTGGATGACAGAATATCAAGAGTGTTTTTCCAGAGGGCAAAGAGAGCCCCTTGCCAGAAGTGCTTTTCGAAGACCTGTTGTATGGCGTTACACATAGTTGCAAGCTTTTCTACACTCTTTTCTTGTTCTTTACCTATAGTTTTGACTGCTTTGTGTGAAGTCACTTAAGTTTTATTGATTTTTATGCACATTTTTTATGCAAATTTTACCAGGGGATGAGAGTGATTTTGTTTTATGATGCACCCTTCCACTTAATTGTTTGTGATATGTAATGATTTATCAAAATGTTTTCATTTTGATGTTAAGTCCCCTTAATTCTTTTGTAAGAATTTTGTACTAAGACCAGGGAATAGTAATTATCTGTGATAATGAAGTTTTACAATGTACCTTACAAACCGTCCAAACAAATTTGAATCAAAGAAGCCTGTATAAAAATTTTATATTTATATTTTTACCTTTTTAATGATTATGAAGTTTTACAATGCACCTTACAAACCGCCCAAACAAATTTAAATCAAAGAAGCCTGTATAAAAATTTTCTATTTTTACCTTTTTAATGATTGTAAACTGTCATTGAATCTATTGACTACTTAAGTGAATTTTGGAGTGCCTTTGAAACTGACAGAATAAAATCTGATTCACAACTGAGGGGGTTTAATGCATTGCGGATCCATTTGAGTTATGTTACTTGGGAAATCACTCATCACTATGATTTTCTTTTCATTCATTTGATCCAATGTCTCAAGAAAGCCAAGCCAATAAATGACCAAGCCTGTACCAAACCTGTCAAATACACATAAAAATTATTAGAAAGCACTATGTTGAAAGTGATGTATGTAGGTGTGCATGGACATACCTGTTCCAATAACTCAGATATTGGTCTTTTAGATAGCCACGATGTCCTTCTTCATCACCGAAGAGGGCCTTGCTTTCAATCCAATTTATGATGAAACCATCCACTGCTATTGGTATGTCTAGTTTGATATCAGGAGTTTTGTCGTAGCCTTTTAATCGAAGATGTTCTTCTCCTCTAAAAGCTAGTTTCAAATCCTTAGCTATTCTTTGTAACTTTAATTCATATTCCTGTCCAAGAGAACTGGGAATTTATACAATTAGATAATGTACCTTTAAACCCTGCTTCTGTCTTTCTCAGCAAGGTGAAAATCAAGTATTATTTCAACAGGCAAACAAAAATACCTACTGCTTTCCCACGTCTGCCAATGGTCCATACTGATCATCATTAAGAGTGCTCTGAAAAAAGACAAAAACATTTTGGCAGTCAGAGTACATGGGTCTGTAAGTGATATCTAATGCAAGAGCTTACCAAATACACTTCATATGCAACATCTCTATCCTCGATTAGAGTAGTATCTTTCATCTTTCTTGATATAAGAGATTTTGAAACTGGAAACAAAATGTGCAAAGAGAGTAAGCAGTGACATTCAAGAATAAGGGGCAATCTAGCTCAGCAAACAGTGATCTCACCTGAGACAGCTACTTCAGGGGCAAGTCTTTCATAATGCTGTTCTAAGATCATGCGCGCGAGAAGAGCAGGAGAAATATCAATGCTCTGAGCCATCCGTAGAATGACACCTGGCTCATCACCTCGATTTACTGCCTCCTGAAACCTGATTGAATAAAGGTTTAGATTGCTGGAAGGGCAAGGACAGTAGGCATCATCAATGCTAAACCAAATAGTGTGACACACACTTATCATAATATTTGTCAGCGGATGATGCTATTCTTGAGTGGTTTCGTTTCATTCGTCGTTGATACTCCAAAGAATAAATGCTGCCGAGTGTTAAATTTGGTACCCTTGGAAAATAAAAACAACAATTTACTGGTATGATAAAAAATAAGGAACAAAGAAAGACATTTCAACCATAAGTTCGTTAAAATAGTTACTTACTCAGGGAACTTCGTACACAAACAAAGATTACATTCTCTGGCAGATCCTTTAAAATTGTTAATCTCAAACAGAATATCCCGATACAGGTCGACAGGCATTCCTCGCATGGTGCTTTGAAGAGGGCAACGAGAGATACAATGAACAAAAACAATAGATTATTCTAATGAAATTATCTTTGGCAGGAAAGATTCAAGAAACACATTTCGAACGACTTGAACCAGAACCAGAACTGAAGTGAGTAGCGTAACGTTTGTCATACTTCCCTGCGTATAGTTTCTTCGTTATTGGCACTGTTCCTATTCATCCCCCCCCCCCCGTCCCTGTTCCTGTTTCCTTGTTTCCTTCGTTCCGTTAATATAGTTCGTTTGCATTGCTTTGGTGGTTAACACGTGTGTTACTTTGCAATCAGTATGTCACTTCCCGAGAAGGTTTTGATGCGGAAAATCAAGAAAAGAGAAAAAAGAAAACAAGAGCTGTCCGAAAAAGAACCTGAGACGAAAAAAGCCAAACAAGACCCACCCGAAAATGGAGAAAATGGTCATACCGAAATTGAAGCATGTAAGTTGAGGTTAATTTGCGCTTCTAAAGCTGTTTATCCTCTTTCGCCCTGAAATTGGCTAAATAGAGTTAAAGTTTCGTTGGCTTCTTCCCTTTTTTTTACTAACATGATTTTTCTGTGGTTTGATTGCAGTGCCAGGATCCAGTTGTGCGCTTCAAGTTGAAAATGACAATGCCTTTACATCGCTGGAAGGACATGTTTGTGAACAAACCCTCAAAGGAATTGCTGACATGGGCTTTACGAATATGACAGAAATCCAAGCGCGCTCCATTCCCCCCCTCCTTGAAGGCCGCGACCTTGTTGGTGCAGCCAGAACAGGTTCCGGAAAGACTCTGGCTTTCCTCATTCCGGCTGTGGAGCTCATATTTAAACTGAAATTCATGCCCAGAAATGGTGAGGAATGTGATTTAAATTAATGCGTTTAATCCCTTGTTCTTCCCTTGTCTAATGACGTTAATTGGTGTAGGCACTGGTTGTATTATCATATCACCGACTCGTGAGCTGTCAATGCAGACCTTTGGAGTTCTGAAGGAGTTATTGAAGTACCACAATCATACATACGGTCTGATCATGGGAGGTGCTAATAGAACAACAGAGGCTCAAAAATTGTCGAAGGGTAAGTCATTAAAGGATTCCTTCCCATAATGTTTTCTGATTGCAGCATTTTAATAACTTCTGCCTTCCAGGTGTGAATATTGTTGTTGCAACCCCAGGACGACTCTTAGATCACCTACAGAATACGCCTGATTTCTTGTACAAAAATTTGCAATGCTTAGTCATTGATGAAGCTGATCGTATTCTTGAAGTTGGGTTTGAAGAGGAGCTCAAGAAAATTATATCAATTTTACCTCGTAAGCGACCATCTTTTGTGGCAACTTTCTGTCTAAACTCGCTCTCATTTGTTTAATTTACAAAACATTATTTTTACGTTACCAGAGAGAAGACAAACAATGATGTTCAGTGCCACATCAACAGAAAAAACTGAAGCATTAAAGAAGTTGGCTTTGAAGAAGGAGCCTGTTTATGTTGGAGTTGATGACTCTAAAGAGAGTGCAACAGTAGATGGATTAGAACAGGGTATGTCTATGTCTCTGAAATGTCAGTCTATTCTCTTAATTGTCCTATCTTGCTTATTTACAATTTTTGTTTACTGCACAGGATATGTAGTGTGTCCATCTGAAAGCAGATTCTTACTCCTGTTTACTTTCTTAAAAAAGAACCGCAAGAAGAAAGTAATGGTATTCTTCAGTTCGTGCATGTCTGTCAAATATCATCAAGAGTTACTCAATTATATTGACTTACCAGTTCTAGCCATTCATGTAAGATCTTTTCCTTCTAACTGTATGTGGTATGTGATATGTATCATTGGCAAACAAAGCTGTTTCTTTTCTTGTTATAGGGAAAGCAAAAACAGGCTAAACGAACTACAACATTTTACCAGTTCTGTAATGCAGAAACAGGCATCTTGCTCTGCACAGACGTTGCCGCCAGAGGGTTAGACATTCCTGCTGTTGACTGGATTGTCCAGTTTGATCCCCCAGATGATCCCAAGGTAGCTACTTCATTCCATGAAATATTTTATAGTTAAATTATATTAATTTGCTAGAAATTAAGAGATGAATTTATGTCTTTTGTGTGCAGGAATACATACACCGTGTTGGTCGAACGGCTCGAGGACAGGGAAGCTCTGGTCATGCTCTTCTTATTTTGCGTCCAGAGGAGTTGGGTTTTCTTCGATATTTGAAGCAAGCTAAGGTGCCACTAAATGAATTCGACTTTTCATGGAGCAAGGTAGCGGACATCCAGCCCCAGGTATGTCAGAAGACCGCATAAATGCATGATTGATTCATTTTTCTTTGAACACGTAGGGTCTCAAGTTTTGTGTTTACCATTTTACAGTTGGAGAAATTAATTGCAAAGAACTACTTCTTGCACCTATCAGCAAAGGAAGCGTACAAAGCATATGTTAGATCATATGATTCCCATCAGCTTAAGACTATTTTTAATGTTGAATCTTTAGATCTGGCCAAGGTGGGTAAATCATTTGGCTTTACAGTTCCCCCTGCAGTCGATCTTAAAGTCAATAGTCAAAACTGTAACCGTCCAAGGAAAAGACTTGGTGGTGGCGGTTATGGTTACTTCAAGGAGATGAATAAGGACAAAAAAGACAAGACCTTCTACAAACAAGTAAATAGATCTAAAGGTCCCAAAAAATGGTAAAATATGTGAGGTGGTGGTCCATTTATGATAATATCATCTGGCACCTTCCAAGAGCTATTCTTACCTAGGTATTTATATTGATCAAGGTATGCAAAAAACGAGTGGCCGCTTTACAACTTTGGTTGTATAAAAGTTTGTCTTGTTTTATCACATAAATTGTGTGGAGATGTGTTCAACTCAGTTTATATTCTGTAAGGAATTCATAAGTGAAAAATTGATTGTGCAGAAAAAAAGATTCAATCAAATAATGTCAATGAAGTTTGTATAACAGTTTTATTATATAAATATTTACTCAAATTAAATATAAAACACATACATAGTTAAAAGAGCAGCCTTATATTCTTTAAAACACATCACAATATGGTCTGGACGGATTCATGTTTCCATATCATTTACATTCTGTTGCACATAAAGGTTACATACAAAGTAATAAGAAATGAAATGAATAAAATATAGCTACAATACACAGAAAAATAGATCCAAAATAAAGACCAAATAAATCATGGTTCTTCTTGGGCATATTTAACCCTTCAGTCTCAGCTCTAAAACTCCCAGGACTCCATCCACTTTAAACTATACATAGTACTATTAGGGTCGTTTGCTAGAGGCCCGGCCATGCCATAGGCCAATGGTGAAAATAGAATAAAACTGAAATTGGGAGGGGAGAGATCATAAATGAACATTCACAGGTTTCTAATTTCAGCTCATTCATTTCATTCAAACACACCTGTAGGTAGTGCAAGCCAAAATTGTACCAACTACCCAGTGGAACACAGAGGCTTTTACTCTTTCTGGTACATACAAAAGAATTGTGTCCAGTATGTATGTTAAGACAATTCCTAAAATGAAATCAAATTAATTAATTTAAATATTTTTTATAAAATAAGGTTGTAAATTCAATTTTAAGATGACATACCTGTAATCATTGAACTAAACAACAGGGCTGGAAAGTAGTGATGGAAATACAGAACTCTGCCCATGAACCAAAATGGTACATAGTGCAAGAACCACCCAACAAACAACCAAGCACCACTGTTCTTTAAACGTTGTTGCCTTTCTGTTGATCAAATCATGAGAAATAGAGAGAATAATAAATATCAATGGAACAAGTAAACAAGTTTCTATTACCTTGGAAGGAGGGATCAGAAATGGTTATGCCACGCTGTTCACATATCATGCTGGAAATAAATACTAGAAGAAAAGACAGTAAGAAAAGTATGTTGCCCCACCAAATGATTGGATTTCCTAGCAAATAAATACGATATGGCTGCCCTGAAAAGAATTGACCCTGTAACAAAAGGTGACTTAAATTAAATTAGTTTCTACATGAGAGGAGAGCTCTCATGCTTCTCTCATGGTTTCTAAAACCAAATCTAAGATTGGAAGAATACAGCAGTTGAATGTTACCCTGTAATTGATAGGCCATTGCCATGGTCGAGATGTAACTTCACCTTCCTTAGGCTTAAGTCCAGCATTTCCCTGCAACATCACTGCGTGGGATTCAAAGAAGCGTTCTAAGAAACTGGGAGCATAGACATCAAAGCTGACATTTGGCACTGCAGATAAAGAAAGATTCAATTATGAGATCTTTTAGGGACCACAACAAAATGAATTTAGAATCAATCAAATTAACTCTTACACTTTGGAAAGATGTTGTCCTCTACATTCCAAACTGCATTTTTGTCTCTTAAATTTGGGTTGCATGAAACTTCCTGCTGTTCATAAGCCCTAAACAAAATCAATAGAAAGCATTAATAAATCAGAAGTTCTGGAAATGTAGTCTTACTGCATCTCTACCAACCATTTCGGGAGTTGGGCACCTGTAGCAGTCAAAACACAATTTTGCAAGAAATGAAGGAAACGAAGGCGGGAGCTGACAGTAGTGACCACTTCATCCTTTTTCCCATCAACAATTAGAACCTGCCAGACATCATTTGCATCACCAGTGCCATTCTGAAAAATTCAATTAATAAACGTTTTCAGCTGTCTCCATAATTTAAGAATCAAGGTGGTCAATAACAAACTATCTGTAGATTCATACTTCTCCATAACCTGTGACTTGATAATGCTTTCGAGACATAGGTGCGACTTCATCATGTGAATGAAGATTGCGCATGGTGCTAATATGTTCTAATCTAATTAAATCACCATGCTTCACAATCTGTACTGGGTCATTTTTCTCTGGTTCAACATCAATTTTCTTTACTCGCCACTTATTATTTTCATCCTTGTGAGAATATGTTGTGATCTGCAACAGTTTCAGTTGAGTTCTGTGACTGTTCAATTTTAAAAGTGATCTTTAAGCTAGTATTTCCAAGGTTCACCTGTTGCTGCCGTGCTCCAACTCCTTGAGGGTACAAGTGCCAATGGGAATGAAGGTAGCCTCCACCAGTCCTCTGGTTTTTCAATGTTACTACAGCACCATAAGCAAGCTCTGCAAGAATAAAAATGTCAACTTTAGTACATATGGATCGCAGCCAAGTTATTAATAGGTAGAGATGATCTTATACATACCACGTGGCATACTAGCATTGTGAAGGGAATTGCCTTTTAGTTGAGACTGGAATGCGGAACTGTAAAAACCGTCTCCATGACCACTGAAAAAGAGTAACTCAATTTCAAATGGTGCTTGGTATACACTGTAATTTTGAAAACTTTAATGAATTTTTACAAACCTTTTATTTAGTAACGACAAATGGATGTAGAAAAAGAATGCATACAGCATAGCAGGTATCACAATAAGGCATAGTGCTCTTGCAAGAAAGTGTTTCACAGAATAACTCTACCAACAAAACAAAAATTAATTAATTAAATAGTAAAGAAATAAAGAAAAACAAGATAGTTATTTCAAATTTCCTCACAATGGGCTTTGTCAAATCTCCAAGTATGTCCCAGAGCTCATAAATAGTATGGAGTCCCACAAACACAACAATGAAGAGCCCAACAAATTTCACACAAATGGAGCAGGATAACATGATGCCTGTAAATGTGAGCCAGAACCACCAGGGTTTTGAAAAGGACTGGTCACTGTACGAGTTGAATTTCGCCATACCCATCACTGATCCCATCACAAAGAACAGCAGAATTGGATCTAGTAGAATATACTGAGTCAAAGTCAGGGTTCCAATATCTAGTGGAAAACAAAGAAATTAGGTATTATCAGAGAGCATACAAGTTCAAACGGGAAAGAAAGCGGTGTGTTTCCTAGCTTACCGAACAAAATTAGAGAAGCACTGATGGCAGCAGCTGTAAGGGACTGAGTCATTTCCCATACAGTGCAAAAGCAGAAAGGGACTATAGCAGCTCCCAGCAGTGTACAAAACTGAAAAAAGGGATCAGATGCATAAATATTAACATTACTAAAAAAAGCCTTAGAGAGAAGTAATTTCATGTAACTCACGACTCTCATCCCAACATAGTTGACATCAGTGTATTTATCTCCTGGATTAGAAAAGGCAAAGGAGCCATCATAGCCCGTCATGTAGCCAGATAAAGCAATAAGCATCTGTAAACAAGAAACAATAAAAATTATTGTTACAAAAAATGTGGGGAATTGAAATTTTTAAAGTCTCTTTAAAAGTCTTTTATTACCTTCCCAAGCGGTGGATGTACATCAAAGAAGAATGTTCGATTGATGTACCAGCTAGCCATCTTCCCGAAATGAGTTTCATCCCAGCTGTGTCAGGAGACGCAAACCATGTGAAGTTAGCAGTATAATGACAGCACTCTTAAAATTTTGAAAATTTTACCTTAGTTGACAAAACTTACCATACATGATCTGGTTCAGTTACTTTATAGAACCTTGTTCCAAATGTAAGCACAAGTACTGCACCAAAAACAAACCACCAAATATTGCTTTCACTGAAAAACAAGGAATACCAGTTCGTGAATTACTCTTTATCAACAAAAAAAAATTATTCACTGACAAACTAGAGATATACTGACCTGTCAGTAACCGAGAATGCAGACGACGTGGAACCTTTAACCTTCTTGCCTCGGCTTTCACCTTTCACAACTTTGCTCATTGTGCTGTTTTCTAGGACAAAAACTAAGGAGTATCTATCACAAAGGTATTATCAAAACAAAAAAATATTTCATGAAATTTGAAGCGTTTTGTACAGGCGAAGGACCGGCATTTTCCTGCCGACAACAAACTTTCCCGGTTATAAACAAAACCGCACACGGGGCAAAACAAACGGTATTTTCGTAGCCTTCTACAACACGACCTCGAGGCCCCCCCCCCCCAACACACACCTACTACATCCGTAGCGGGAACAGCACGATCCTTTCAAACGCTCAGCAAAGTCTTTCTCGGGATTTACGTACTTTTGTGAAGAGAGCTTGAAGCAGCCGGGACAACATCATATTCTTTATGTTGTTTTCAGGCTTTAACAATGGACAAGGCCGACAACAATGTTCAAAAGAACGTTTTTTCAAGGGTATTTTTTCCTCATTTATTTTGTGAGACGACTTTGCTGTGGTTTTGCGAGTACAGGGACGTGTGGACTTCCGTGCTCTGTCTGGAGTCACTGGAGGCCTCGAGGGGCAACGAGGCACTCACCGAGCCGCAGACTGATTCCGAGGGTCGTGTTTTGTCGCTCTGTCTCTCTCGCACCTATGACGCCCCACGAGTGCGAGAGAGACAGAGCGACAAAACACGTCTCTCGGGATGAGTCTCCTGGAGCAGCGTGCTGGAGGCGCGAGGCACTCGAGGCGCCTCCAGCTCCAGCCTGGCCGTGCCTGGCCGTGCCTGGCCGTGCCGCCCATGCCGACCACGCCGTGCCGCAAGGTGCCGCGGCCCAGTCATGCTCTCTCTTTTCCTCTCCGTGGGTGGCGGCGCTGGGGCTGGAGAGCTGGAGGTGTGTGCCGCTCTGCCGCACTGTGTGGGCCGACTGGGCCGGTGCCGCTAGTGCCGTCATCGTCCGAACGACGTGCTAAGAGGCCCGCCGCCCCGCCCCGCCGCCCTGCCGCCCAGCTGCACCGCTGCACCCCGTCGGCCGCTCGGTCTTCCCGCACCGCGATGATGACGGCTACCGGTGTTGCGCCTCCATCGGCAGGGGACTTGCCGCCGTAGAATTGAAGTCAAGCAGAAGTTGGCTCTGAAGACGGAGTGCGGATCCTCGCGGGCCTTCCCTTTGGCGACGCCGGCGGCGGCGGACGGCCGATGGGTGAGGCAGGCGGCGGCGAGGCGGCGAGGCGGCAGCCTGCGGTTCGGGGGTACGGGTAGCTCGGCAGCTCAACTTCCTCCTGGCGTGTTTGCCTTATTAGAATAGCCAGATTCCTTCATCCGTTCGTTTGTTTTACGCTGGCTGCGCTGGCTCTGTTGACGCAGGCCACGTATATGTGTGCCCACGCGGGTGAAGGCGTCGCGGTGAAGCACGGTGCCGGACGGGACGGGCCGGCCCAAGTCTCCGGCTCGGTCTCCGGCCACCAGTGGTACCAGTGGTGCTTCACCTCACCGCCCTGCTGGACACTGGAATCTGGAGCCCTGAAGGACGATGCAGGGCCCCTGAAAAACAAGACCTGCCGCGGCCGATCAAACAGAAGATCATGTAGAAACAGCTTCTGTACGCCTTGGGATCTGCAGAATCGGCCATGCTGCTGGACTGGCTGGGCTGGTTGGGCTGCTGCTCGGTGCTTTCGCAGTGCGCCAGGACGCTGCTTCCTTATCACCCTGACTGCCGCAGTGCCGCATCGAAGAAGGTGTTAACAAGCCGCTCCCAGGCCGGGCCACAGCCACACGCACTGGGCCAAGGCGAGTCCGAGTCCATTCCATTCACACGTGTTAGTGAGCCCCTTTTCCCCTCATGACCACATTTCCAGAAAGTAACGAGGCCCCGCTTATTACATCCCGAATCCCCCGAATCGGGCGAGCCGAGCCGGGCCAGCAGGGCCGGGGCGGGCAGGCCAGGACCGGAGCGCGCAGGCAGCGCAGCAGAGCGCCCGAGGGGTAGGCAGCCCATTCACCACCGGAGCCACCCCGATGGGGAAGGCACCTTTGTTATGGCTATTTCTATTGCTATTGACCTGTTAACGTGAAATAATACAACGGCAGCAAGGTACGTTCGCTTGGAGTAATAAAGTAAGTAGGTAAGGTGTTCGGGGCCACGGCCACCCGGGGTGCACGACGAGCGCCGCGCGACCTCGCCTGCACGCTGCCTGCACACAGGGCGCAGACAGCAGCGCGATTCGGAGAGCGCTTTCGCCGCACTCTCCCTCTCTCTCCCTCGCACTCACGGTGCGTCGCCGGGAGGGCGTGAGAGAGACAGGGCGGCGAAAGCACTGTTCGGCATGGGCAGGCGTGGGCCAACCGCGCGGCACCGCCGTGGCCCGCGCACCGCGATAAGGAGCCGCCTATCTGGATCAGCCTTATCTTTATGGAATTATAACGAGATGCAGGGCAATAAAGGTGTCCCGACGCCTTGATTCTGTGGGGGCTGTGGCTGTGGAGGGCCCGCCAGACGAACCGGGCTTCGGGAATGTGTGAGTGGGGAAAGAGGGGGGGACATTGTTGTAGTTGTGGCAGGGCGCGGCGATCGAGGTTAGTTCACTCGCGTCATATATTCTTGCAGACTCTGTGAAAAATCATCGATTTCCGCGCCATTTTTCATTCCGGCTTGCGTGGCTTGTGAATCGCACTCGTAGTTACTTGTCGCATTGCCTCGGCCTTCGAGCATTGCCTCAGGATGCCTGGTGATGCCTGGCGACTTCAAGTCTGGACGTTCTCGCGTTGTCACTCAAAATCCTGACAAGGCTGACGAACCCGCTCCGCAAACAGTAGCGATTATCTTGATTCCTGGGGAAACATGGAGCTCCTGCAGGCCTGCAAGCCCGCCGAGACTTGGCCAAAACAATCCCCGGGAGGTGACACTGACCAGGGAAGTTCCTTGAACCGAACGGCAAGGAGAAATCGGCCAACCGAGCCGCAGCGAGAGCGACGAACTTAGCGGACTGTCGCTTGTTTGATGAGCGTGAGACGGGTTAAAATATTTGAAACATGTCACAAAAGATAAAAATCGAGAGGAAATTTTGTGGTGTAGACCGGAGGAGTCGAGGCCCCGGACGACCGGATCGAGTTTCAGGGGCGCGGCTGCCTCTGGCGGGGCTGGCTGCCCCTCGGGCTGCCCTTCGCTGTCCTAGGTGGAGCTTGGCGGCTCTGCCAGGGCTCGGCGAGCAGCATGGAGCAGGCCGAGCAGGGGGAGGGGAGCGGACGGGCATCGCTCATCTGCATCAAAACGCAGAAAGGAAAAAATAAAAAAAGGAGCGAGCGGGGAGGAAAGGGCGACGGGTAAATTCACAAAATGGAGACTTCCCCCTCTGGTTGGAGGGGACGCCAGCGACCGCCAGCGACAGGGTCGACGTGGAGGTGTGTTGCGCGGCTGAGCGCTGACAACGGCTCGAACGGGTGCATCGCCCCGTGAACTGATGCCGCGACGCCGCCGACGGAGGAAGGCGCGGAACCGCGCCCGGGTCGCAGAGGTCGCGCGGTGCGGTCGCGGAGCGCGGTCGCGGGTGAACCGTTGCGTGAACGCGAGCGCGCGTCCCGTTTCGCAAATGAATACTAATTGAAAGGGTGGCTTGTTAAACAAAGTGAGGCGGACTGCCGCGGCCCGGCTCGCCCCGCCCCGCCCCGGAGGCTGGGGGAAGAGCGCACGCAAATATGGATCACGCTGGAGTTGCGTCGGGCGACCGCACTCAGACAAATATACGCGCGCTCACTAGCACGGCGGCACGTCAGTGCGGTAACGCCTTGTTAGTTTTTGTTGTGTGGGCACAGCGCGCGGGCGGAGTATGCGGAAAGAAGGCAAGGGCTGGCGGCGCCGAGGCCGCACCGAGGCGACACGCACGCCAGCCTGAGGACGTCCAGGACCAGGACCGCGCTGCCGTCGGGCCCGGTCGGGTCTTGGGAGATGGCCGAGGGAAGTACCAGGAAGGCCGTGCTGGGCTCCAGGCTCCAGCCAGGCTCGCTCCGCCAGGCTCGCTCCAGCGCTCCAGCCGGGCCGCGGCCTCACTGGAAGGCCGCAGGAGCGCGCCACCGCGCCGCAGACGGCAAGACGACGAGACGCGCAGTGGAGGAGGCCACGTGACCCGGCGGCGCGCTATTGGCGTCACCATGGCAACGCGGGGGCAGCGGCGGGTCGTCGCGCGCGCCCATTGGCGGGAGGGAGGGGCTTGGCGGCGACCTGGAGGGGAGGCCTTCCCCCTCCCGGCGGCGCGCGGCCACCCCCACCACGCGGCCACCCCTGCCGCTATGTCATGTTCCCCAAAGTTTGGAAGACACTTCAGTTTGATCACGGTAAGCTAAATAGTGCGACCCCGGACCCGGACCCCCTCCTCGCTGGCCAAACACGGGAGGCTGGCTCGGCCCGACTCACGGACTCGGCCCTCGCGCATCCCGGGCCAAGTCCGCCGCATCGTTAGAAAAGTCGTGTTTGTTTTCCCAATCAGTGCTACCCGCCAGTGCCGCCCAGCCCAGTGCGTGCCGCGGGGCGCGGGGCGTGCGTCCAGTGCGTTCGCGTGTGGTGCGTTGGCCGCGCGGGCCTGTGCGCGTGTGCTCGGATTCGACATGAAGTGTTGTGACTAGTGATCTTGTGCTCTGGATGCGGCTCCCATGTTGTCGCAGAAGTTGTACGGCGTGGACGCGGCCGTGAGCAGCGCCATGAGCCCCGCCATGAGCCCCGCCATGAGCTCGGCGATGACGCCGTCCTACTCCTCCATGTCCGTCATGAGCAGGGCCTGCACGGACATGAACGCCATGAGCTCCCCCCAGGGGGCGGCGGCGTCCTTCGGGCCTGCCGGGCTGCCCATGGGCTCCATGACGTCCATGAACAACTGCATGGTGGGCTCCAGCATGCCCTACAGCTCGCCCATGGGAGGCGTGGGCTCGTGCATGAGCTCCATGGGCGGCTACTCCAACCTGGGGCCCGTGACGTCGCTGGGCAGCCGCGGCGAGCCCGGCCCCGGGGAGCCCGTGTCCCCCAACTCGCAGCTGCGACGCGGCCAGGACAAGCCGTACCGCCGCTCGTACACGCACGCCAAGCCGCCGTACTCGTACATCTCGCTCATCACCATGGCCATCCAGAACACGCCGTCCAAGATGCTGACGCTGTCCGAGATCTACCAGTTCATCATGGACCTGTTCCCCTTCTACCGGCAAAACCAGCAGCGCTGGCAGAACTCCATCCGGCACTCGCTGTCCTTCAACGACTGCTTCGTCAAGGTGCCCCGCACGCCGGACAAGCCCGGCAAGGGCTCCTTCTGGACGCTGCACCCCGAGTCCGGCAACATGTTCGAGAACGGCTGCTACCTGCGCCGCCAGAAGCGCTTCAAGGACGAGAAGAAGGAGCAGCAGCGCGCGCACACCAAGAGCACGTCGCCGCACCCCACTGACGCCAAGAAAGAGGTGCCCGACGACCTGGTGCACAAGCACGCGCACCCCCACGGCCCGCACGGCGTGCACGACAAGGACCACCTCGGCATGCTGGGCAGCATGCACCCCAAGGTGGAGGACCCCATGACGCTGCTGAGCCACGCGGCGGGTGTGGGCGCGGACCTCTGCGGCCTGCCTCAGCAGCTGCAGCAGCACCCGCAGCACCCACAGCACCCGCAGCACCCGCAGCACCCCCAGCACCACCACCAGCTGCAGCAGCAGCCGCCCCAACACCACCAGCAGCACCACCAGCAGCACCACCAGACCCAGGACGAGCTGGCCGCCATGGTCTCGCGGTGCCACCCCAACCTGCTGCCGGACTACCAGCTCAAGCAGGAGCAGGCGCACCCCTTCTCCATCACGAGGCTGCTGCCGGCCGAGAGCAAGGCGGACTTGTACGGCAAGCCCTCGGACCTGAGGCTGCAGTACGACATGGCGCAGTACGGCTACAACCCGCACGAGAGCTACTACCACTATCACCACTCGTCGCCAGGGACCACGGCCTTGTGACAGTACCCCCTGGCCTAAGGCCAGCCTGAGCCAGGCAGGGCCAGGGCCCACGGCGTGCCGTGCACTGCTGCCTGCTGCCCGGCCCGGGACCACCAAGGCGAGGGACCACGGACCACACCACTGCAGTGCTGTGTGCTTGTTGACGCCAGGCGTCGCCAGGCGTCGCCGGACTGACGCGGCATCAGTGATGCCCCGTGTGCAACGTCTTGCCCCGACACGTCACGTTTTTGTACATTTTTTAAAAAAATCAACGGGTGCACACGTGAGAAAATTGTGTTAGTACGTACTTTTTTGCTGATATCGGCTATGAACTATTTTAAAGAAATATTTGTTATATGATATGTTTAATTTTTGTTTTTATTTTGTGTAAATATGATTATTTGATTGCCGCTAGATTTCAGTGCAAATATTACCAACTCTGTTGAATTCCATTTTCTGTATACGTTTAAAAATCCATACAGTAGATTTATTACGTGTGAAAGGGGGGCGGGGAGGGGAGGGGAATTCCGTTCGTGTCACGCGCGCGCGAAAGGACGGAGAGGGACAGAGTGTTATGTTTTGTGGGAGGTGGATGAGAGAAAATCCCTCCTCATTTCGATAGACTGGGACTTTCTTCTAGCCGCATGTTTTCCTAGGATAGAGGTACCGCAGACATATGCTGGTACATTGCACTGCGCATCTTTTGTCAAAGGAGCAGAGTGTTTCGTAAAAAAAATCTCATGAACATTTATTATGTTTTCCATTTGTTTTGGTGCCAGCTTTATTTACTTTGTGGTGTGTGTTAGGAATATCAACTCATTGTTAAGTTTTTGCTCCATAATAAGTGATCTGAGATAAGCATTTTCCGTAGAAAGTTGATTGTTGTTCGGATCACGCCACGTTATTTGGATCTGACCTCGGCACGAACTCACAGTGTGCTTGTTCGCGTCGACTGTCTGGTTGGCGGTTAAGTGTCGTGGAATTTTGTGTTGACGCGCCACGAGCGTTCTGAAGGCGCCCCATTGCACACGATGGCGCCTAACGTAGCCTTGCATTATTACACACGTCCTTTATATGCAAATGAGGAAGCAGCGCTTTTGCCGCATTTTGAGCTGCGTGCATTATGCATTTTCGCCTCGACGTGCAGCCATGGTGCTCGCCCCAGTCATTCGGGTCCCTATCGGACGACGAGGAACCTATCGTGTGAATGGCGCGCCAAATTATTGAAATCGATTCTGCTAGTTTTATTTGTTATTATTACACTCATTGTACTCATATGTGGTTGCCATATATTTGTTGCTGTCCGGTTGTGTGTCTTTTTTAACTCATTTATCTCAGATACAGCCATTTCCTCTCTCGTTTCGTGGGCCCATTGAGCCCACTCGTGCCATTTCGTGCTGGATTCAGTCATAGACTCCTTTACTAGTCATAAACAATTAACCCGCCTCGATGTCCATGCTAAGTGATATTTGACCTTTTGTTAGCGCGTGGGTTCAATTTTTTTTTATTTTAGTTTTTGAAGTGCGACAAAGGAATCAAGTACAAAATTAACAAATACTGGCTAGCTTCCCGCTGTTGCACGGCAAAGGCTGCGTGCGTGTCAAGACGCGACGAGTGAAGTCACAGCATTTTATCTTCAACTCTTTCCAAATCAAATATTTTCGCCCAGCGCGTGTTTTGAAGTCTGTTTTTAAAAGATACTTTAAATTACAACGTTAAGACATTAAAAGAGTTGGTGATGCTTTGATGTGGCTGCGCTCGAGAGGTATTTGTCTGCATCTGGCTCGTCTGGAGTGGGCCTAAGGCTCAATGTAAATGGAAAGTACATGTTTTGTTTGTAAGAGAGTTATGTCAGCTCTTATCTTCGGGATTAATTTTAAAATTTTACGTATATAAATATATATATTTATATTTTCCCTTTGTTGTTGTTATGAAATGTGGAAGGTCGATAATGGATTCATATTTTATGTCAGGATCATGTGTACTTGTTACACGTGGGAATCTGTTGGGCTTCTGTAAGATCGAAGCCAAAAACTCTGTGATATAATCTGATATAAATAAGTTATATAACAAATTCTGTATATATACCTGAGTATTATTATATGTGCATCTGATTCCAACCAGTCCAAAAAAGTGATTGATACTGATCGAAAAGGTATGAATGAAATATACCAATCTCAATTATGAAAAGTAACCCTCTCAGTTCTTATTTATCATTTATTCACCACATAATAGTTACAGACATACAGAGCAAAACCATCAACTTGATTTAAAAAAAATTATGAAGAGCATGCACACACACATGCACACACACAGCACCGAAGAACAAGAGATGAATCAGCCACCGATTCCTTCTGAATTATTTAAATGGGGCAAAAAAGGCGTCTCTTGCGCTCTGTCGTTGAAACTCTTGCCTTGGGACCAAGAATGGTGTCTGTGCAAAAACCTCCTCAACAAAAAATTTTTCATTATCGAGCTATTTTTGCTGTCGAGGCATTTTTCCGCCCTTTTTTCACGTTGAATGAAGAACGCGGTGCCCCCGCCGCCCCCGTTTCGTGCGTGGGGCTGTACACCGAGGGGTACCTCACTTCGAAAACAAGTGTACACTGACTGGTGACTATACTCAATTTCCACTTTGACTAGACTGAAAATATCACGAAATGCGTTGCAAAAATACTAAATTTGGGACAAATTTACGTGGTTTTGCCGACTTTTTCAGTGACTAGACTGAAACAAGGCAGTGACTGGAGTCAGGGGTGTACACTGACTAGACGAAGTGAGGTACCCCTCGCTGTACACTTACAGTGTGGTGGCGCCGTGCGTGCAGTGCGGCTCTGTTGGCCGACCTGCCGCGTGGCATGGCGTGACGGCTGCATGCAAATTAAAGTCGCAGTGGACGGGCCTATTGCCCCAGACCGGGCCAGACCGGGCCGCTAAAGCCTCGGCGACTCTCGGCCGCGACGCCGTTCAAGTCTTCAACCCTACAAGTGTGGCGGGGCCGGGGCGGATGAATGGCCCCCTCGAATATTGATGGCCTCGATGACTTGATCCCGCTGCACGCCGTGCACCTCGTCGAAGGGCGATTCGTCGCTCTGTCTCTCTCGCACTCGTTCCGTTGCGGGGCGCGAGAGAGACAGAGCGACAGAGCGCCGTTTCGGACTCAGCCTGGAGAGCATCGCGCTCGCGTGCCACGAGAGACGGCAGCCCGCCACGCCCCGCCACGCCCCGCCACGCCCCGCCACGCCCCGCCACGCCCCGCCACGCCCCGCCACGCGCACGCCCCCGCCCCGACGCGCACGCCGCCACGCCCCGCCACGCCCCGCCACGCGAAGCGCACCCCGACATTGAACGGCACTGCCGCCGGCATTTTGAAACTCATCGACTCCAAGCGGCCTGACTTGTCGCGCGGCGTTGCGGCGTTGCGGTGGGGGCGTTTTCTGCGTCTCCCACGCCCTGCCCCGCCGCGTCGCTATTGCAGTGCACCGCCGTAGTTTATTTCCAATTTATTCACCCAATTTTCAAAACAACTGTTTCACGGAAGTGAAAAAACTTAGTGGGACTAGGGCTTTTGAAAAATTGAACGTCCAGTCTGGAAATACAACAATAAACAGTGATCCATGTCCTCGTCCATGCCCGGCAGTCCACGCCAAATGCCTCGCGGGTCGAGTCGAGGATCGTCGCAAAGGCGCAGCGAGGCGCGGCGCGGCGGGGCGAGGGTAGGCAGCCATTGTCCAGAGGGCACTCGATCGCGGCATCGCGGCTTCGCGGTGCGGGGGGCCACTGCCACCGTGTTGCCCCTGGCGCCGCCGCGGGCCGTCCAACCACAGCAATAACGACGGAGGGCAGCAGACTGCAGGGCATCGAGGGCATGCCCTGGCCGCCCTGGCCGGCGCACAAGTCCGCACCGCGGAGAGAGAATTAGCTGCGAGTTAATCATCGGACCGCCGTGCCGCCACCGTGTCTCCCATAAAGACTGCACGTTGCGGCGGGGCTGCGGCGGCTGCGGCCGGGCCGAGGGCCGTGGGCCGTGGCGGGGCGCCCTCGCCGCCCTCGTCCAGGACCCTTGCCGCCTAGGCTTGCCGGGCTTGCCCCGCAGCACCCGCAGGCCGTCGTAACGGCCGATGAGCCGTTTAGCCGTCCCGGGGCGCTGACCGCCGGCCTGCCGTCGGCCTGCCGCACACCCCGAGCACCCCGACCACCCTAGACACTTGGACACGGCCGTCATCCCAGTCATCACGGCGGCGACGGCGGCCGCAGCGACCGGGCGACCAGGCGCGGACGGGGAGGGGACGGGGGAGTCGGCCAGATTGACTCATCACGCACGCTGCCGAGACAAACAGAGCCGCGGACGTGCTGCCCCGTGCTGCCCCGCGCCGGACGGCTGGACGACCCGAGCAGACCCGGCGAAGGCGAAGGCCTTGCCTTTGGCACATGCCTTGGCCTTCCCACCCCAACCGGCCGAACCGGCATGCCAAAATGAGACCTTAGACGGAGCGGCCGACTTGTGGCTTGCCTACCCACGCGGCGGCAGTGCCCTGGCAGTGCCCTGGCAGTGCCTGCCGAGCCGACGTCCTCGTCTGTCTCTTTCTGCCACTCCAAGTGGGCGATGGGGATGATTGGTCCGCAAGGCGCCCTCTGCCCTTCGGCCCGGCCCTGTGGCCCTGCGTCCGAAGGCTGCGGGCAGGCCGTGCAGGCAGGGGCGAGGCTGCAGCGGTAATCCCGAGACGTGTTTCTGGAGCACGACCGCCCCCGCCGACCCGGCCACCCCGGCCACCCCCGCCACCCTCACCGCGCCGCCACCCTGCACTGGCCGGCCACGTCCATCTGCCCTCTGCTGCCGGCCGGCCGGACCAGACCGTCGTTATGGAGTGCAGGACGTCATCGAGCATCGAGCGGGCGAAAGCGAGCGCTTCCAGCACCCCCAGCCACCGCGCCAAAGCGCGCCGTGCCGCCTCCTCACTCCCCGTATTACGGATGAAAAATGCATACTCGCCTCCGCGGCCTACACGTTTCCCCGGCGAGTGGAGTGAAGGGCCTGGAAGGTCTGGAAGGCCTGGAAGGGCCTTGCTTCGCTCACCGCGCTCGCATGCCTCGCCTCGCTCGGCTCGCTCAGCCGCTCCGGGCCGCCGCTTGCCGCCGCTTGCCGCCGCCCCACACGGGCGACACGCACTGTTAAAAAAAGCAAAAAAATTCAAGCCCCACGGGGTTTTGGGAAAAATTTCCCTGTCAAACTTGGAATCACGCGGCTCTGGACCCCGTGGGTGGGGAAATGCCCCTTTTTCCCCCTGGCACATGGATTTTTACTATCCAGTGGGAGGAGAAATTTCCCAGCTGGAGTTGGAAAATTGTCTGTCACAATGGAAATTTCACCCACCACATTTCGGAACAGAGCATCCCGGACCCCCAACATGAATTTTCACACCCACTTGGTGTAGGGAACAGACCATCCCCGGGCCCACAACATGAATTTCCGCACTCAGTTGGGGTATGAATTTTACCCACCACATTTTGGATGAGACCAGCCCCGGGCCCACAACTGGAATTTTCTCATCCACTTGGGTACGGAACAGACCATCCCGGACCCACAAAGCGAATTTCCGCACTCACTTGGGGTATGAATTTTTACTAACCACATTTCGAAGAAAACCCTCCCGGACCCCCAACAGGAATTTCCCCTCTCACTTGGGGTTCGGAGGAGACAATCCCCGACTTGCATTTTTGGGATTCTTAGGAGTATCGAATTTCATTCACAATTTCAGAAGAGATCATCCCCAGCCCAGGTACTTTTTGGTTTTTGCATTTTTCAACGCATCGGCTAATAACGGTACGTTGCGACAAACATTGTGACGTACGGTCGGGTAAACGTCAAAAATAGGCGAAAGCAGTTTTCTCGGAGCGGAGCGCCTAGAAGCCTTGCAACCCCGCGTGATGAAACCGAGGATGACCTGGGGCTCTCTACCTGGGCCTTTCGTAGGCGATCCCGACGCGCATTTTCTAAGTCCCCGGGGGGCGGCCGGCCCTCCCCCGGGACCCCCCCCCCCGCACACGAGCGCATCTCCCCCCCCCCCGCACGCTGCAGCCACTGCTGTGCGGCGGCTATGTGCGGCGGGGCGCGGCTGGTTCCACAACAGATCCTGTAGTCTCGGGGTAAGCGTCCGCGCTACGATGCTACAGGGTTAGGGTTCGATTCCCGCTCCCGGTGTCGGGCGGCGAGAATGATATCGTGGGTGGGGGGAGCGGGGCTGCTGCGCTTGAGGCCCTTGATGTTCGGAAAGACTGCCACACACGTTAACATTTTTGGAATAATGACATTCAAGCTGTCGATTTCAAGTTGTGGGTCCCGAAACACACAATCCCTACTGTCACTAACAAAATTCATGTTTTGGATCATGAAACGCAAGTTACCACAGCTACTAAGGAAATTCATGTTGTGGGTCCGGAAACACCCATTCCCTACCGTCAACATGAAAATCCTTCGGTGGGTCAGTAAAGTAACGATTCTGCCCCCACTGGGTGGAGAAAATTCCACACCCATTGGGTCCCGAAATTTCTGCACCCACTGGGTCTTGAAATTTCACTCCGCTGGAGGGGGGATTGGGCGTTGCACTGTCCACAGCTGGGATTTTCTTGTTTTTTTTTAACAGTGCGGGCGACGCCGCCAAGCCTGATAGCGTGCTATCTTATCGCGTAGCCGTGCAGGCGGCAGGCCCTCTCTCGGCCCTCTCAGTCTTCCAGCCTGCCGCGCCTCGCCGCCTCCCCCTCCGCCATGGCCGTGGCCGCCGTGGCCATCCAGCAGCGTTGCAGCAGCGGAATCAAGGAAGAAAAGCAGGGAGGCTCCGAGCAGCGCGTCGGGGCGTCACGCAACCCCAACCCAGCCCCCCAGTTGGTTGGCCCGCGCGGACTGCGCACTGCGCGTCGCGGGGATGTTTCCGCGTCCCTCTCCGCGCGCGTTACCCAAGCTTTTCTCGCATAGGTGTCGAACGCACGTTTTTCGACGCACTCACACGCACACACGCGCGCGCACACACACTCACGCAAAAGCACGCGCACGGACCGCTGCAGTGCGCGAGTGCGCACGACG